GATTTCTCTGCTGGCTAGAACACTCAGACTAGGGGAAAAGGAAGAAAAGCCAGGCAGTAACGGAAGGTACCTCTTTCAGGACTCCAGATAGAGAGGCTACCTCGGGACAGTTTTAAAATAAGATAGGAGAACTCTACGCCAGCCACGGAGAACTGTCTGTCAATGCTTCGTCAGGAGGACTTCAGGAAAGGAGTGGGAGACTGCACCCGGCAGAGCCAGGGACTTGGTGACAAGGAGTAAAGAGGTATACTACAGCTCCTAGACCCGGACCAGACCCATTCTCTCCCAACCCCAGACCAAATATAGCAGAGCACACTCAGCACAGTCTGGAGAAGAAGAGAGGAGAGGGGGAGAGAGAAGGAGGAGAACCGCCGGAGCCAAATTTAACTGGACTTCACGCTGGAAGTAAGGCAGAAGAATGTCAGGAATGAGAGTGGGTGGGGGGAGCACAGAGACGTGTGTTAGTAGTGCGCGGGTCAGCTGTTTGTTCATCCTCACCCGCCCGCAATTGCTAATAACCCGCAACCGCCCCGACTTTGATAAAGTGAAAATCTGAGGCCCGCATCCAACCCTAATCCGCAAATATAGAAAATGCGCTATAGGCTACAGTCAAAGACTGCAGAACGATTTTTTGACTTATGATGTTTCTGCTTATAATTTCCGACATTTTGGTAGGCTATTTGTTAGTCAACTTGTCTATAATTAGTATATAGTTTATCTTCTGTCATTAGATGTTGCCTAGAAGAGTAAATAAACCTTTGTTCAACGGAATAATGTCATAGATCGATAGAATGAATGCTTCAATCTAGTTAACGTCAGTAAAGTTTTCTCTGTCATCTTTCGCAGCGCAAAGATGTTTAGGAAAGTTTAGAAAGCAACAACAAAAAAACGGGAAAGATTTTCTGTGCAAAATGTCCAAATGACATCAGTTTGACCGGTTGTAAGGAAAAAGAAAGCTGTGAAAACGACCCAACGTGTTTCTGATAAAATTTCAGTTAGGCTTCTATGCATTCTTTATGTGGTTGAAATACTAGCAGCTTTTAAGATGATTTCATGATGAAGACGGCACCTCTACAGATGGTATCTAACTGAGCATTCTCTCAAGATGCAGAAAGATTTTACTGCAAGAAATGCTTAATTTTGCAGGAGTTATTATTAAGGCTTTATGAGAGGTTATAGACCTACAGTCAATGTCTAGATGTCAGTTTCCATTTAACCCATCTTAACAGTAGGCTACAGTTCCCTTGACATACCATAGGCCTATTTGAAGTCCCGTCTTGTGACTTACCAGTTTTTTTGTTGCTTTATTGTATTTTCTCCCCAGTCACTAAACGTATTTGCTCTGCGAAAGATGACGGAGAACTTTACCGATGTCAACTACATTGAAGCATTCATTCTATTGATCTATTACATTATTCTGGTGAGCAAGGGTTTATTTTGTCTTCTAGGGCAACATATAATGACAGAAGAGAAGCTTCATGTGTCTAATTATAGACAAGTTGACTAACAAATAGCCTACCAAAATGTCAGAAATTATAAGCAGAAACATATCTAAATCAGGCAAAAACAAATCCTGCACCCCCTGTCAAAAAATCGTTCTGCAGTCTTTGACTGTAGCCTATAGCGCATTTTCTATATTTGTGGGTTAGGGTTGGGTGCGGGCCTCAGATTTTCACTTTATCACATATAGTCGGGCGGTTGCGGGTTATTAGCAATTGCGGGCGGGTGCGGGTGAACAAACAGCTGACCCGCGCACCACTAGCTCACTTACACTTGATCAGTGCTGTATCTTCTCTCCATCTCTCTATAGTAGGTGTCTCCAACCCTGTACTAGATTAGGGTTGGAGTGAAAACCTACAGGACGGTAGCTCTCCAGGAACAAGGTTGGAGAGCCCTGCCTATAGCCTAGAAGTGTCTAGTGCACGTGTCAAACTCATTCCACGGAGGGCCGAGTGTCTGCGGGTTTTCGCTCCTTCCTTGTACTTGATTTATGAATTAAGGTTACTAATTATTAAGGAACTCCCCTTACCTGGTTGTCAAGGTCTTAATTGAAAGGAAAAACCAAAAAAACAGCATACACTAGGCCCTCTATGGAATGAGTTTAACACCCCTGGTCTAGTGGATAAACCATGTGTTGTCCGTTCACTCTCTGGCGTACACGGTGGCTGTTTCCCAAATGGCACCCTATTCCCTACATAGTGTGCTACTAACTCCATGGGCCCAGGTCAAAAGTAGTGTTCTATACAGGGAATAGGGTTCCATTTGGGAAACAGACACCGTGTATGCCAGAGAGTGAACTCATTATTGGACTGCCGGTGCGTGTGTATTGTATCAGTCTTTTTAGATGTAGGCAACTGAGTTTTTTGAGGGCCTTTTGGCTTTTTTAAGTGTGTGTGCATGTGTGCGCCATAGACGTGTGTGTGCATGCGTGCGCCATAGATGTGTGTGTGCATGCGTGCGCCATAGACGTGTGTGTGCATGCGTGCGCCATAGACGTGTGTGTGCATGCGTGCGCCATAGACGTGTGTGTGCATGCGTGCGCCATAGACGTAGATAGAAACATCTAGTGCTTTAAAGCCTGTTTTCATGGACAGCACCGTTGAAGAACTTCCTATAGGTTAAGGAAGGATCACATAATTCCATCCAGGTATACTCGAAAGCAAACAATTCATAACTGCAGGTGGCAATTATTCAGACCCCTTGACCTTTTCCACATTTTGTGACATTACAGCCTTATTCTAAAATGGATTAAATTGTCCCCCCCCCCCTAATCAAATATACACACAATACCCCATAATGACAAAGCAAAAACAGGTTTTTATAAATTTTTGCAAATGTATTAAAAGTAAAAGAAATTAAATATCACATTTACATAAGTATTCAGACCCTTTACTCAGTACTTTGTTGAAGCACCTTTGGCACCGATTACAGCCTCAAGTCTTCTTGGGTATGATGCTACATGCTTGGCACACCTGTATTTGGGGAGTTTCTCCCATTCTTCTCTGCAGATCCTCTCAGCTCTGTCAGGTTGGATGGGGAGCGTCACTGCACAGCTATTTTCAGGTCTCTCCAGAGATGTTAGATCGGGTTCAAGTCCGGGCTCTGGCTGGGCCACTCAATGACATTCAGAGACTTGTCCCGAAGCCACTCCTGCGTTGTCTTGGCAGTGTACTTACATTCATTGTCCTGTTGGAAGGTGAACCTTCACCCCAGTCTGAGGTCCTGAGCGCTCTGGAGCAGGTTTTCATCAAGGATCTCTCTGTACTTTGCTCTGTTCATCTTTCCCTCGATCTTGACTAGTCTCCTAGTCCCTGCCGCTGAAAAACATCCCCATAGCATGATGCTGCCACCACCATGCTTCACCGTTGGGATGGTGCCAGGTTTCCTCAAGACGTGACGCTTGGCATTCAGACCAAAGAGTTCAATCTTGGTTTCATCAGACCAGAGAATCTTGTTTCTCATGGTCTGAGAGTCCTTTAGGTGCATTTTGGCCAACTCCAAGTGGGCTGTCATGTGCCTTTTACTGAGGAGTGGCTTCCGTCTGGCCACTCTACCATAAAGGCCTGATTGGTGGAGTGCTGCAGAGATGGTTGTCCTTCTGGAAGGTTCTCCCATCTCCACAGAGGAACTCTGGAGCTCTGTCAGAGTGACCATCGGGTTCTTGGTCACCTCCCTGACTAAGACCCTTCTCCCCGATTGCTCAGTTTGGCCGGGCAGCCAGGTTTAGGAAGAGTCTTGGTGGTTCCAATCTTTTTCCATTTAAGAATGATGGAGGCCACTGTGTTCTTGGGGATATTCAATGCTGCAGACATTTTTTGGTACCCTTCCCCAGATCTGTGCCTCGACACAATCCTGTCTAGGAGCTTTACGGACAATTCCTTCGACCTCATGACTTGGTTTTTGCCCTGACATGCACTGTCAACTGAGGGACCTTATATAGACAGGTGTGTACCTTTCCAAATCATGTCCTATCAATTGTATTTACAATTGCTTCTACAATCAAGTTGTAGAAACATCTCAAGGATGATCAATGGAAACAGGATGCACTTGAGCTCAAATTTCGAGTCTCATATCAAATGGTCTGAATACTTATGGAAATAAGGTATTTCTGTTTTTTACTTTTAATAAATACGCAAACATGTCTAAACCTGTTTTTGCTTTCTCATTATGGGGTATTGTGTGTAGATTAATGAGGAAAAATAATAATTTAATCCATTTTAGAGTAAGGCTGTAACGTAACAAAATGTGGAAAAAGGGAAGGGGTCTGAATACTTTCCGAATGCACTGTATACCAACATTGGCTTCATACCTGTTCAAACAACACACTCCAGGTGGTAGTATGCACCCTTTCAGTTTGTTTACCAACTCATAGACGAAGTAGAAGAAGAAATTGACTACTTCAAAATGGAAATGACCTCAATGGCATTGCCCATGCACTCACAGACGCCATAATGGGACATATACAAAGAGGAGAAGTCTAACTAAGTCTATAGTGTGTGCGTGTGTGGATGGGCCATCTTAAGTGTGTGCGTGGTTGCGGTTCTGCTCTCTGACAGAGAAAAGGCGTGCAGCTATTTTTATTCGTCTGGGAACAGGAGCCCCTTTGTGAAGCAGCTGCGGAGGAAAGGAAATTGATTGGAAGCTGACGTCCGCTCTGTAGAAATAGCGTTACTTACCGACATCCATCCACAACTTCTGACCCAATCAATCTATCAATACATACAGACTCACAACTGCTCAAAAAAGCCCTCAGAAAGCACAGTCGTACATCTAAAAAGGCTGATACACAATACACAGGCACACACACACTTACCCTCACACACATCTCTGTGTTACATTTGTGCACACACACTCAAGTTGGCCCATCCGCTCAGTAGCTTAAGCATGGGACTGGATGTGCTTCCTCCTCTGTTTGCATTCCTGGCCACATGACATTGCACAACCCTTTCATTTCTCTGAGCACTTGGTGTGTCTTGTTCTCTCTCTCTCTGTTTGTGTAGATCATCACTCCGTGTCGCCGGCTAATTCTGTGTGCGGAGAACAGGAAAGAGATGGAGGACTGGATGGCAGCCCTGAAGAGCGTTCAGAACAGAGAACACTTTGAGGTGAGGGCAAGGTCACAGATTCAGAGGTCAGGGGTCACTATTTTCTCCCTCTCTTCTCATCCAATCCCCCAGGGTACGTCCCAATAATCTCTACTTCCTCCTGAAGTGTGCACTCATACACTACTCCACATCAATTTTAAAGCATTGGATTGGTGTAACCATGGGCTAAAGGGAGTTTCCATATACCAGATAGGTGAACACAATGCTTTGGGAAAGCAGAGATACTTGTGACACCCCCTCTCAAATTGACCCCTGGACCCTACCCTCCTAGCCTAGGCACTTGTATGGAAGCTCCGATTTGACCTTTGGTAGGTTAGTTGGAAGTTTTGCCGTATCGTTATTGCCTTGCTAATACAGTGAGGGAAAAAAGTATTTGATCCCCTGCTGACTTTGTACGTTTGCTCACTGACAAAGACATGATCAGTCAATAATTTGAATGGTAGGTTTATTTGAACAGTGAGAGACAGAATAACAACAAAGAAATCCAGAAAAACGCATGTCAAAAATGTTATAAATTGATTTGCATTTTAATGAGGGAAATAAGTATTTGACCCCTCTGCAAAACATGACTTAGTATTTGGTGGCAAAACCCTTGTTGGCAATCACAGAGGTCAGACGTTTCTTGTAGTTGGCCACCAGGTTTGCACACATCTCAGGAGGGATTTTGTCCCACTCCTCTTTGCAGATCTTCTCCAAGTCATTAAGGTTTCGAGCCTGACGTTTGGCAACTCGAACCTTCAGCTCCCTCCACAGATTTTCTATGGGATTAAGGTCTGGAGACTGGCTAGGCCACTCCAGGACCTTAATGTGCTTCTTCTTGAGCCACTCCTTTGTTGCCTTGGCCGTGTGTTTTGGGTCATTGACATGATGGAATACCTATCCACGACCCATTTTCAATGCCCTGGCTGAGGGAAGGAGGTTGACACCCAAGATTTGACGGTACATGGCCACGTCCATCGTCCCTTTGATGCAGTGAAGTTGTCCTGTCCCCTTAGCAGAAAAACACCCCCAAAGCATAATGTTTCCACCTCCATGTTTGACGGTGGGGATGGTGTTCTTGAGGTCATAGGCAGCATTCCTCCTCCTCCAAACACGGCGAGTTGAGTTGATGCCAAAGAGCTCGATTTTGGTCTCATCTGACCACAACACTTTCACCCAGTTCTCCTCTGAATCATTCAGATGTTCATTGGCAAACTTCAGACGGGCCTGTATATGTGCTTTCTTAAGCAGGGGGACCTTGCGGGCGCTGCAGGATTTCAGTCCTTCACGGCGTAGTGTGTTACCAATTGTTTTCTTGGTGACTATGGTCCCAGCTGCCTTGAGATCATTGACAAGATCCTCCCGTGTAGTTCAGGGCTGATTCCTTACCGTTCTCATGATCATTGCAACTCCACAAGGTGAGATCTTGCATGGAGCCCCAGGCCGAGGGAGATTGACAGTTATTTTGTGTTTCTTCCATTTGCGAATAATCGCACCAACTGTTGTCACCTTCTCAACAAGCTGCTTGGCGATGGTCTTGTAGCAAATTCCAGCCTTGTGTAGGTCTACAATCTTGTCCCTGACATCCTTGGAGAGCTCTTTGGTCTTGGCCATGGTGGAGAGTTTGGAATCTGATTGATTGATTGCTTCTGTGGACAGGTGTCTTTTATACAGGTAACAAGCTGAGATTAGGAGCACTCCCTTTAAGAGTGTGCTCCTAATCTCAGCTCGTTACCTGTATAAAAGACACCTGGGAGCCAGAAATCTTTCTGATTGAGAGGTGGTCAAATACTTATTTCCCTCATTAAAATGCAAATCAATTTATAACATTTTTGACATGCGTTTTTCTGGATTTTTGTTGTTGTTATTTTGTCTCTCACTGTTCAAATATACCTACCATTAAAATGATAGACTGATCATTTCTTTGTCAGTGGGCAAACGTACCAAATCAGCAGGGGATCAAATACTTTTTTCCTTCACTGTAAATGTATATCTACGCTAATGTCTGCACTGGGTTTCTTAACCAGGGTCCTGTTGGACTGACGGGTGCAAACATTTTTTTATTATAGCCCAACACTAACACACCTGATTCAACTTCTCATCGAAACATTAAGCCTTTGATTAGTTGAATCAAGTGTAGCCTATTAGTGGTGGATAAGAAGAACAGAAATCTAATCATCTGTAGGGCCCCAGATCAGGGCTGCTTCCCAAATGGGACCCTATTTCCTATAAAGTGCACTACTACCTTTGACCAGGGCCCATAGGGCTCTGTATAGGGTGCCATTTGGGATGCAACCCAGGATGAAGAAATCCTGAAAGGAGTAGTGGTTAGGGGACGATTTAGGACTTATTTCCCCTCTCTTGTCTCCTCCCAGTCCACCCAGTATAGCATGGACCACTTCTCTGGGATGCATAACTGGTACGCCTGCTCCCACGCCCGCCCCACCTACTGCAATGTGTGCCGTGAGGCCCTCTCCGGAGTCACTTCGCACGGACTGTCCTGTGAAGGTACGTACCGCTCTGAACACATACACACTACCCTGGCTATATGCTAGCTAAAGGTTTTCACGGATCCACCTGTACCTGAATACCTGAGACCCAATCGGGAGGGAGGGAGGGAGAGAGGGAGAGAGAGAGATTCCCCCCCTCCCTCCAGGGCTCGGTTCTAGGCCCTCTTCTCTCTATACATCAAGTCACTCGGCTCCGTCATATCCTCACATTTAGTCACGGTAATTAGGCTTCTCCAAGCTCTGATGCTGCTGCTGGTCATTAGTAGCCTACCAAACTTGCTAATTGCCTGGTACTCAGCACTCTATTGTCACTCTAACATCAATGCAAATGTCTTCGAAAATCTAATCAAACACTTCATGAGAGCCCATGAGCACATGTTGCGCAACATTTCTATAGGCTATGCAATTTCACGAGAAAACAGAGTGATGGCCTCTACTAAAAAGAGGAGGATCCCATCAGCTTACTATAGGCTTACTATATTTCTTTCTCAACTTTCCTAATATTAAGCACATTGCTTATATTTACAACAGGAGTATAGCCTACCTGACTGGCATGAAAATGAACCACACGAAAAGCGTCCTCCATTCGCTATTTAAGTGCATAGATGACATGGGTTTTTTTCCCCACTGCCCCTATTTTGATACAGGTGCATGATAATGGTCCATTCTAAATCAAAACAAATTTCACACATACACTACCATTGAAAAGTTTGGGGTCACTTAGAAATGTCCATACATGAAATTAGTTTGAATAGAAAATATAGCAAAATGCATAGGAAATGTAGTCATTGACAAGGTTAGAAATAATGATTTTTAATATAAATAATAATTGTGTCCTTCAAACTTTGCTTTCGGCAAAGAATCCTCCATTTGTAGCAATTACAGCCTTGCAGACCTTTGGCATTCTAGTTGTCAATTTGTTGAGGTAATCTGAAGAGATTTCACCCCATGCTTCCTGCTCCCACAACAGCTCAATAGGGTTGAGATCCAGTGACTTTGCTGGCCACTCCATTATAGACAGAATACCAGCTGACTACTTCTTCCCTAAATAGTTATTGCATAGTTTGGAGCTGTGCGTTGGGTCACTGTACTGTTGTTGGAGGAAATTGGCTCCAATCAAGCGCCGTCCACAGGGTATGGCATGGTGTTGCAAAATGGAGTGATAGCCTTCCTTCTTCAAGATCCCTTTTACCCTGTACAAATCTCCCACTTTATCACCACCAAAGCACCCCTAGACCATCACATTGCCTCCACCATGCTTGACAGATGGCATCAAGCACTCCTCCAGCATCTTTTCATTTGGCCTGTGTCTCACAAATGTTCTTCTTTGTGATCCGAACGCCTCAAACTTCAATTCGTCTGTCCATATCACTTTTTTTGCAATCTTCCTCTGTCCAGTGTGTCTGTTTTTTTGCCCATCTTAATCTTTTCTTTTTATTGGCCAGTCTGAGATATGACTTTTTCTTTGCAACTCTGCCTAGAAGGTCAGCATCCCGGAGTCGCCTCTTCACTGTTGACGTTGAGACTGGTGTTTTGCGGGTACTGTTTAATGAAGCTGCCAGTTGAGGACCTGTGAGGTGTCTGTTTCTTAAACTAGACACTGTAATGTATTTGTCCTCTTGCTCAGTTGTGCACCGGGGCCTCCCACTCCTCTTTCTATTCTAGTTAGAGCCAGTTTGCGCTGTTCTGTGAAGGGAGTAGTACACAGCGTTGTACAAGATCTTCAGTTTCTTGGCAATTTCTCGCATGTAAAAGCCTTCATTTCTCAGAACAAGAATAGACTGACGAGTTTCAGAAGAAAGTTCTTTGTTTCTGGCCATTTTGAGCCTGTAATCGAACACACAATTGCTGATGCTCCAGATACTCAACTAGTCTCAAGAAGGCCAGTTTTATTGCTTCTTTAATCAGCACAACAGTTTTCATCTGTGCTAACATAATTGCAAAAGGGTTTTCTAATGATCAATTAGCCTTTTAAAATGATAAACTTGGATTAGCAAACACAACGTGCCATTGGAACAGAGGACTGATGGTTGCTGATAATGAGCCTCTGTACGCCTATGTAGATATTCCATAAAAAATCTGCCGTTTCCAGCTACAATAGCCATTTACATTAACAATGTCTACACTGTATTTCTGATGAATTTGATGTTATTTTAATGGATAAAAAAATTGCTTTTCTTTTGAATACAAGGACATTTCTAAGTGACCCCAAACTTTTGAACGGTAGTGTATATTATTTTGTATATGTAAAGACAAGATTAAATCAAGAATAGTCTGATGGGTGACAATATTAGCCTATCACTTGTGAATTATATATTTTCACTTGTGAATGATGCCCAGCATAAGAAACAATGCCTTTTTTTTGCGACTTTTTCTAATCATAGTCGCACACCTCATAGCCCTTAGGCCTATATGTTTTGATAAGGTTTGTATCACAACTAAAGTGGCAAAATAACTTCTTAAAATGAAGCACATTAATCCACTTTACAAGGGGTGTAGAGCCTAACTGGCATACATAAGCAGCGCGTGAGTTTGGGGAAGATAATTTTCACCATAAAAATGCACCTTTATAATAAAATCATTACATGAATAATTTAATTTGCAGTCACTTTTGATAACATTTTATCAACATTTTAAGCTAAACGTTCTGATCTGTTGCGTCAGCCACATCGCGTGAAAAGTTTTTTGGGATGCTAGTGGTTGTATTAATTTGGGATCTATCGCATCCCACAACTGTCCCAGACTATGTTTGGAATATGTATTTATTGCACAGAATAGAATAGGTCAACTTTTGTACTATGGGGGATAGTAGATTGACATAGGCTAGTGCTTTTGCTGTTCGTTAGGCTTACTCATCTTGTTGACTGATGAAAAGTAAATGTGGACAGTTCTTCCAATATCTTCAAAATGCACCTCGGAATTGGATAAGGACGCGCGCAATTGCGTCCCCGATGTGTCTGTCTTCACTTGTAGCCTGTGAGAAAGACACGATCACGTGATGGAGAGCCATGTGAGTGAGAGGTGATTCGGCGCACTCAGGGAGAAGGGCACAACGGCCACTGGCTGCAAAAGGCATGGATTTTTTTAGGGTGTATTACGGCCACACAAAGGGGATGCCGCCATGAAATTCTAGGCATTATCAAGTGCTTGTCAAATTGTGAATGAGAGACTGATGTAGAGTGTACAGCCTGCGTCAAAAAACAAAGCAGAGCTCATGCCTTTCAAGCAACTTTTTTTTAAATCATCATTAGTTGCATCATGCAGCCTTACAATGTATTAAAAATCAAAACATATAGCCCAATGTTTGTAGAACAACTAAAGTTACATTAATAACTCTAAAGTAAGCAGATAGGAATACCTATTTATTTGTTAACCGCTCAACACAGAATAGCTGTATGTGCGCACTCCCTCAAATCGTTTGGAGAAAATATCCTTTCTATTTTATTCAGCTTTGTTCAATTGTATTCTTCATACTATAAAATAATGCCACGGAATTCTAAGCAAATCTTGTCTGCTAAATGAACTAGTGTAGCCCACAGCCATTTGTCATAGCCAGATCAGGACCTAACATAAGGACAACTCAGAGTATGCTATTCTGTTCTTCTGAAATAGACTACATTTTCTTCATATCATGCTTCTTTAGACCTGTCTAAAATAAATAATGGATTTATTGTGAAGGTGTAGGCTACATTACATGGATTTATTAGACTTTTTAAAATGTGGATGTTCCAAAGGTCTGCATCAGAGGCTTGTAGGCTATGTGTGGAAGCCAGTAGATGCTAAATGTGGCCTGCCCGCTCAAAGACCTCTCTGTCACGGTTGACAACTCCAGTCGCCCACCCAGAGTGCAAAGAACCTTGGCGTGACCCTGGACAACACCCTGTCGTTCTCTGCAAACATCAAAGCAGTGACCCGCTTCTGCAGGTTCGTACTTTACAATATCCGTAGAGTACGACCCTACATCACACAGGAAGCGGCGCAGGTCCTAATCCAGGCACTTGTCCTCTCCCGTCTGGACTACTGCAACTCGCTTTTGGCTGGGCTCCCCGCTTGTGCCATCAAACTCCTGCAACTTATCCAGAACACTGCAGCCCACCTGGTTTTCAACCTTCCCAAGTTCTCTCATGTCACCCTGCTCCTCCGCACACTCCACTGACTTCCAGTCGAAGCTCGCATCCACTACAAGACCATGGTGCTTACCTACGGAACAGCAAGAGAAACTGCCCCCCCTACCTTCAGGCTATGCTCAAACCCTACACGCTAACCAAAGCACTGAGTTCTGCCACCTCAGGTCTCTTGGCCCTCCCACCCCTACTGGAGGGCAGCTCCCGCTCAGCCCAGTCCAAGCTCTTCTCTGTCCTGGCACCCCAGTTGTGGAACCAGCTTCCCCCTGAAGCTAGGACAGCAGAGTCCCTGCCCATCTTCCGAAAACATCTGAAACCCTACCTCTTCAAACAGTATCTTAAATAATCCTCCTCCTCACCTCACTATATTTTGTGGTTTTGGCTCTGTACTCCAGCACTTTGGAAATGATACAATGACTATGAGGTTAAAGTGCAGCCTGTCAGCTTTAATTAGAGGGTATTTTCATTAATATCGGGTGAACCGTTTAGAAATTACAGCACTATTTGTACATAGTCCATCCATTTTAGGGAACAAGATTGAGAAAGTTAGACGCACAAATATCATAACCCCCCCCAAAAAATGCTAACCTCTCCTGTTATTGTAATGGTGAGGTTAGCATGTCTTGGGGGTATGATATTTGTGGCTAACTTTCTCACTCATTATTATTCCCGATTTATTCTGGATTATCCGTAATCATGGTTGCATCTACATTCATGTAGAAGTGTTTAGAAATATATTATATTATTATTTACAATAAAAGTGATTAAAATGACACAATTATTTACCATTAATTTCTAATGAGCACAAAATAATCTGAAACCCAACCAAAACAAACAGCAAATGCATCCAGCTAATTTGTTGAGTCACAAGCTTGATGTAGTCATTGCATGCTATGAATATGGGACCAAATACTTTACTTTTTACTACTTTAAAACACATTTAAGGGAATTTGTCCCAATACTTTTGGTCCCCTAAAATGGGGGGACTATATACAAAAAGTGCCTTAAACTTAAGGCTGACAGTCAGCACTTTAACCTCATAGTAATTATATACAGTAATTTCAGTGCTGGAGTAGTAAGTCGCTCTGGATAAGAGCGTCTGCTAAATGACTAAAATGTAAAATGTAAATGAGTAGAGTCATAACAACAAAGAATCTGTCACTGTCCCGGTACTTTTGGAGCTCACTGTATGTGATTGCATCTCAATTAATTGAAGCAATGAAATGATTGTTATTTTCAAATACAATCTCTTTTTGGGCTTACTTGTGGTTCATTTGCCGTGTTCAAATGATTATAATTATGTTCCAGCCTCCCGACCTGCCGCTCTGATAAAAATCAGCCCGCAGCTGAATCTTGTTGCCTACCCCTGCCCTAGAGGGTTGTGACTGTCCTTCCCCAACACCCACCACTCAAAGCTACTTCTTTCCAAACGGCCTATTACAGCACAACTATACCTCCACTCCCCCTATATACACACACACACTCCAAAAGCTAGAGTCACCTGCCAAAAGCCATAAACGGACTTAAAAGGGGACCATTGTTCATTCTGAGAGAGGAATTGCTGCTTTTCTTCAGTTAACCCCAGATGCTGGCACATACATCTGACACTGTCCCAGACCCTTTATCTTCTCCAAAAAGCTCAAAAACATACATCTCTCCTCTTGGCTTTCTTAGAAGGAGCCTCAGGAATGTATATGGAGCTCAGTAGGGGGAGAATGATCCAAAATTGCTGTATATCACAGTTTGGGCCTTGAAGGCACATTGTATCATTGTGGAAAGTGGGTTAAACTGCTGCTGCTGATCTGTCCCAAATGCCCCCTATTCCCTGTGTAGTGCGCTACTTTGGCCTCATTGGACTCTGGTCAAAGTAGTGCACTATATAAGGAATAAGGCCATTTGGGATGCTCACTACATCTGTTCACGCAACACTGTAATGCAATGCGTCAAGGAAGTGAAATGCTATAGCCAACACATAGTATCAGGGTGATGTTTAGTAACTTCACCCTCGTGTTATTCTATCCAAACCTCACTGTCAAAGGTAATGTTATCTATCTAACACACCATCTGTCTCTGTGTACTGGTGTAACGCTAAATCAGTGTGCGTCTGTGCGTCTGTCTCTTTGTCTGTGTGTGTGTGTGTGTGTGTCAATCTGATGCATTTCTCCTTCCCACAGTGTGTAAATTCAAGGCCCACAAACGTTGTGCTGTCCGAGCCACTAACAACTGCAAGTGGACTACTCTGGCATCCATTGGGAAGGACATCATCGAAGATGAGGATGGGGTGAGTGCTAATCTTGGGTCAGTTTTGCATCTTCCCCACTAATGGTTGAGGTTAGGATTGGGGGAGGGAAAGCTGATCCTAGATCTGTACCTAGGGGAAACTTCACCCCGGAGCTGTGTGAGGGCTCCTCAAAAATGGGGTTACTGTTCAGAGATGTCCCCTGTACCCCTGCTAGAGAGGATTGCAGTACAGCTGGTTTATTAAACATAATTGTACATTATGCAAAAGCATACATAAAATAAAATGTTAGTTTTATGAAGACATATTGTGCAACCTACACATTTACACTGAACAATAATATAAGCGCAACATGTAAAGTGTTAGTCCCCTATTTCATGAGCTAAAATAAAAGATCCCAGAAATGTTCCAAAGCGTATTTCTCTCAAATTTTTGCCACATATTTCTTTCCGCCCCTGTTAGTGAGCATTCACCTGACAGGTGTGGCCAATCAAGAAGCTGATTAAACAGCATGATCATTACACAGGTCCACCAGGCCACTTTAAAATGTGCAGTTTTGTCAAACAACACAATGCCACAGATGTCTCAAGTTTTGAGGGAGCGTACAATTGGCATGCTGACTGCAGGAATGTCCACCAGAGCTGTTGCCAAATAATTTAATGTTAATTTCTCTACCATAAGCCACCTGAATCCCAGTTTCAACAGTACCGGCAGATGGCAGATAGCGTGTATGGTTTCTTGTGGGCGAGCGGTTTGCTGATGTCACCGTTGTGAACAGTTTGCCCCATGGTGGCGGTGGGGGTATGGGCAGGCATAAGCTATGGACAACGAACACAATTGCATTTTATGGATGGCAATTTGAATGCACAGAGATACCATGACGAGATCCTGAGGCCAATTGTCGTGCCATTCATCCGCCGTCATCACCTCATGTTTCAGCATGATAATGCACTGCCCCATGTCGCAAGGATCTGTACACAATTCCTGGAAGCTGAAAATGTCCCAGTTCTTCCATGGCCTGCATACTCATCAGACATGTCACCCATTGAGCATGTTTGGGATGCTCTGGATCGACGTGTACGAAAGCATGTTACAGTTCCCGCCAATATCCAGCAACTTCGCACAGCCAACTTCCACAGGCCACAATCAACAGTCTGATCAACTCTATGAGAAGGAGATGTTGCGCTGCATGAGGCAAATGGTGGTCACACCAGATACTGACTGGTTTTATGATCCACAACCCTACTTTTTGTTTTTTAAGGGATCTGTGACCAACAGATGCATGTCTGTATTCCCAGTCATGTGAAATCCATAGATTAGGGTCTAATGAATTTATTTCAATTTACTGATTTCATTATATGAACTGTAACTCAGTAAAATCTTTGAAATTGTTGCATGTTGCGTTTATAATTTGTTGTCTATGGGCAAAGGATGGTTGCCCTCTCTCAGTGGTGTAAAGTACTTAAGTAAAAATACTTTAAAGTTCTACTTAAGTAGTTTTTTTACTTGACTATTTATATTTTGGACTACTTTTACTTCACTACATTCCTAAAGAAAATAATGTACTTTTTACTCCATACGTTTTTCCCGACACCCAAAAGTACTCGTTACATTTTCAATGCTTAGCAGGACAGGAAAATGGTCCAATTCAATCACTTATCAAGAGAACATCCCTGGTCATACCTACTGCCTCTGATCTGGAGGACTCACTAAACACAAATGCTTTGTTTGTAAATTATGTCTGCATGTTGTAGTGTGCCCCTGGCTATCTGTAAATTTAAAAATATATATATATACAGTGGGGGAAAAAAGTATTTAGTCAGCCACCAATTGTGCAAGTTCTCCCACTTAAAAAGATGAGAGAGGCCTGTAATTTTCATCATAGGTACACGTCAACTATGACAGACAAAATGAGAAAAGAAAATCCAGAAAATCACATTGTAGGATTTTTAATGAATTTATTTGCAAATTATGGTGGAAAATAAGTATTTGGTCAATAACAAAAGTTTCTCAATACTTTGTTATATACCCTTTGTTGGCAATGACACAGGTCAAACGTTTTCTGTAAGTCTTCACGAGGTTTTCACATACTGTTGCTGGTATTTTGGCCCATTCCTCCAAGCAGATCTCCTCTAGAGCAGTGATGTTTTGGGGCTGTCGCTGGGCAACACGGACTTTCAACTCCCTCCAAAGATTTTCTATGGGGTTGAGATCTGGAGACTGGCTAGGCCACTCCAGGACCTTGAAATGCTTCTTACGAAGCCACTCCTTCGTTGCCCGGGCGGTGTGTTTGGGATCATTGTCATGCCGAAAGACCCAGCCACGTTTCATCTTCAATGCCCTTGCTGATGGAAGGAGGTTTTCACTCAAAATCTAACGATACATGGCCCCATTCATTCTTTCCTTTACACGGATCAGTCGTCCTGGTCCCTTTGCAGAAAAACAGCCCCAAAGCATGATGTTTCCACCCCCATGCTTCACAGTAGGTATGGTGTTCTTTGGATGCAACTCAGCATTCTTTGTCCTCCAAACACAACGAGTTGAGTTTTTACCAAAAAGTTATATTTTGGTTTCATCTGACCATATGACATTCTCCCAATCCTCTTCTGGATCATCCAAATGCACTCTAGCATTACTGGCTTAAGCAGGGGGACACGTCTGGCACTGCAGGATTTGAGTCCCTAGCGGCGTAGTGTGTTACTGATGGTAGGCTTTGTTACTTTGGTCCCAGCTCTCTGCAGGTCATTCACTAGGTCCCCCTGTGTGGTTCTGGGATTTTTGCTCACCGTTCTTGTGATCATTTTGACCCGACGGGGTGAGATCTTGCGTGAAGCCCCAGATCGAGGGAGATTATCAGTGGTCTTGTATGTCTTCCATTTCCTAATAATTGCTCCCACAGTTGATTTCTTCAAACCAAGCTGCTTACCTATTGCAGATTCAGTCTTCCCAGCCTGGTGCAGGTCTACAATTTTGTTTCTGGTGTCCTTTGACAGCTCTTTGGTCTTGGCCATAGTGGAGTTTGGAGTGTGACTGTTTGAGGTTGTGGACAGTTGTCTTTTATACTGATAACAAGTTCAAACAGGTGCCATTAATACAGGTAACGAGTGGAGGACAGAGGAGCCTCTTAAAGAAGAAGTTACAGGTCTGTGAGAGCCAGAAATCTTGCTTGTTTGTAGGTGACCAAATACTTATTTTCCATCATAATTTGCAAATAAATTCATAAAAAATCCTACAATGTGATTTTCTGGATTTTCTTTCCTCAATTTGTCTGTCATAGTTGACGTGTACCTATGATGAAAATTACAGGCCTCTCTCATCTTTTTAAGTGGGAGAACTTGCACAATTGGTGGCTGACTAAATACTTTTTTTCCCCACTGTATATTTATACTTTTACTTTTGATACTTGAATATATTTTTGCAATTAAATGTACTTTTGATACTTAAGTATATTTAAAACCAAATACTTTTAGACTTTTACTCAAGTAGTATTTTTCTGGGTGACTTTCACTTTTACTTGAGTCATTTTCTAAGGTATCTTTACATTTACTCAAGTATGACAATTGAGTACTTTTTCCACCACTGCCCTCTCTCTATCTCCCCTTTTCTCCCTCTTTCTCGTTCTGTCTCTCTCTCTCAATTCAATTCTAAAAGCTTTATTGGCATGAAAAGTGTAACCACATAGTGTTGCCAAAGCAAACATATAGAAACATTTTAAGTCAATGATGACAGAAATAAATACTTGCTGAATATAACAGTGACTTCTCCCTCACTGTAGATCTCTATGCCTCACCAGTGGCTGGAGGGCAACCTGCCGGTCAGTGCTAAGTGTACAGTGTGTGACAAGACGTGTGGCAGTGTGCTCCGACTGCAGGATTGGCGCTGCCTCTGGTGCAAGGCCATGGTGAGTCTGCATCCGTGTGCATGCGTATTTGGGTGGTGCTTCTTTGGGGATATTTTTGAGGGTTAAGTGTGAATCGGATAAGTGCAAACTGCATTACTATACTTTTCAGCTGCCACAATACAGTAGAACTTTTTTTTCTGCATGCACTGACTTTTGATACATTCACAAAAGTCACAAGGCCATTGTACATATCAGGGTGTTGACTGTATATACTTGTCGTAATGCTCTGTGTAGTGTGACTAAAAAGAAAGTGTGTGTGTGTGTGTCGATGTCCAGGTGCACACGGTGTGTAAGGAGCAGCTGTCCAGTAAGTGTCCCTTGGGGCAGTGTAAGGTGTCGGTCATCCCCCCCACAGCCCTCAACAGCATCGACTCCGACGGTGAGTTCTCTCCGGGGTCAAGTTTCCCCTAGGTACAGATCTAGGATCAGCTTTCCATCTCCCAATCCTAACCTTAACCATTACTGTGGAAAATGCTAAACTGAGCCAAGATCAGGGGCAACTTCACTTTACACCTGTGTTTGTGGGTGAACAGGACATATAGGGATGTCTACATGACCGGCCAGGGTAGTGTTCATTAGGCCTAGGGTTGCAAAATTCTAAACTTTCCAAAAATTCCCAGGTTTTCCAGAAATCCCGGTTGGAAGACTCCCGGAATCAGAAGGGAATAAGCACGAAATTCCTAATTTTTCACACAAACAAATAGCTAAACCTGGACATTTCTGGAAGGTTAACGTAGAAAAACGCTTTAAAATAAGCTCTTTCTTATTAGATGTTAGGGGCTGGTTTCCCAGATTAGATTAAGTTTAGTCCTGAACTAAAAAGCATTCTCCATTCATCTGTGTCCGGGAAATCGACCCTAGAAGTTCAGGTGTGTGCCGGAGTCTGGTATAGCGGTGAAAGCTCCCGACTCCGGACCTTGTTTACCCTCCTGGCAATGGGGTTTTGAAGCTGTTCCTGTCTGTGATCCTCTATGTGCCGGTCATTGGTCCTCATCTGCCGGTAATTGGTCCTCATCTGCCTGTCATTGGTCCTCATCTGCCTGTTATTGGTTCTCATTGGTCCTCATCTGCCTGTTATTGGTCCTCATTGTTCCTCATCTGCCTCATTGATCCTCAGGATTCTGGAAGGCCACCTGCCCTCCCTCCTGCACCAGCCCTCTCCTGGTGTTCGTCAACAGTAAGAGCGGAGACAACCAGGGCATCAAGTTCCTGCGCCGCTTTAAACAGCTGCTCAACCCCGCCCAAGTCTTTGACCTCATGAACGGGGGGCCGCACCTCGGGTGAGTCTGCCCTGTGTGCGTGCGTGCATGCATGCGTCTGACATGGCTGTGTGTGTTTCCGACGGCACTGTGTGTATTGCTGCTTGTCTTAGAGGGCTCTCTTCTGTGTCTCTCCTAGTTTGCGGCTCTTCCAGAAGTTCGACACGTTCCGGATCCTGGTGTGTGGGGGCGACGGCAGCGTGGGCTGGGTCCTCTCTGAGATCGACACTCTGACGCTGCACAAACAGGCAAGTTCACCCTCTCCATCTGCACTGAGCTGAAAATAAGCGTCCACTGACTCTTGGGCTCTTTCTCAATTCGTGTTTCCTCGATTACTCATGTTCTTGGACATCAGACTTTCTCATCAATGGGTTTTGGGAAGGAGGCGAGGAGCGGAATCGGGGAAAGATGAATTGGGAAAAAGCATTGGCTGCTCTCCCATCATCCCTAAGCAAGCCCTGAGCCTAGCAGGCAGCTCTGGCTACTGTGCCAGTTAGCCACTCTCATGTTTCCCTTGTCCCTCTTTCAACAATCTAGTAACAAAGATACAGTTTTGTCACACTGCCTGCCTCTATTAGATAGATAGACAGATAAACAGACAGACGCTGCCCTCTGCTGGTTGTAAGGTACACACAGTCCTGGCTTTCCGGGCTCTGTGTTCACATACAGTGGGGGAAAAAAGTATTTAGTCAGCCACCAATTGTGCAAGTTCTCCCACTGCTCTAGAGGAGATCTGCATGGAGGAATGGGCCAAAATACCAGCAACAGTGTGTGAAAACCTTGTGAAGACTTACAGAAAACGTTTGACCTGTGTCATTGCCAACAAAGGGTATATAACAAAGTATTGAGAAACTTTTGTTATTGACCAAATACTTATTTTCCACCATAATTTGCAAATAAATTCATAAAAAATCCTACAATGTGATTTTCAGGAAAAAAAAATCTCATTTTGTCTGTCATAGTTGACGTGTACCTATGATGAAAATTACAGGCCTCTCTCATCTTTTTAAGTGGGAGAACTTGCACAATTGGTGGCTGACTAAATACTTTTTTCCCCCACTGTATATTCGTTTTTCTCGATTGCTTGAACACATTTCTCGAAACAGGGTTCACATTTGCAAAACAGTTACCTCAGCCCGCTAAACTGAAGTGCGTTTGCCAAAACAACACATTTCTCTTTCGAAATACACTAACACAATCAACTTAAAATACCTATCACAAAATAACTCTTATCAAAACAGTATCATTTGTCGTTTAATGAGAAGAGGACTTCTGCAACATCTTAGAGCATATAATACATGTGACAAAACAAGCTGAATCCATCAAAACAGTGTCATTTGTCAGTGAATGAGTAGGTAATTTCACCATTCAATAGATAATGGCTCAACAAATACTACACTGAACAAAAATAAACGCAACATGTAATGTGTTGGTCCCATTTTTAATTTTAAAAAATCCAAAAATGTTCCATACGCACAAAAAGCTTATTTCTATAAAATGTAGTACAAAAATGTGTTTACATCCCTATTAGTGAGCATTTCTCCTTAGCCAAGATAATCCATCCACCTGACAGGTGTGGCATATCAAGAAGCTGATTAAACAACATGATCATTACACAGGTGCACCTTGTGCTGGGGACAATAAAAGGCCACTATAAGAGTTTTGTCACAACATAATGCCACAGATGTCTCAGGTTTTGAGGGAGCGTGAAATTGGCATGCTGACTGCAGGAATGTCCACCAGAGCTGTTGCCAGAGAATTGAATGTTCATTTATCGATGGCAATTTGAATGCTCATTTTTTTTACGGTATCTGTGACCAACAGATGCATATCTGTATTCCCAGTCATGTGAAATCCATAAATTAGGGTCTAATGAATTTATTTAAATTGACTGATTTCCTCATATGAACCGGAACTCAGTAAAATCAAAGCAATTGTTGCATGTTCCGTTTATATTTTTGTTCAGTATATTAATTGTGTTTTGTTTGGAGCGCTCCTGTCAATGTTGAGTAAGGACGCAAACCTGATTACGCATAGAAGTAAGCCTAGGCTAGTCTGTTTCTACATTCGTTGAGAATGACAGTAGTTCCTCAATGTAGCCTATTTGAATGTAGCCAGTGATAACCACTGTGTGTGAAAGGGAAAACAAATGTCATGCTCTGATCTGGTGGAAACATCATAAAATACGCCTACCTGATTACTTCTTATCCCTTGCGCAAATACATTTACATTACATTTTAGTCATTTAGCAGACGCTCTTATCCAGAGCGACTTACAGTTAGTGAGTGAATACATTATTTGTATTTTTTTTATACTTTCCCCCCGTGGTAATCGAACCCACAACCCTGGCATTGCAAACGCCATGCTCTACCAACTGAGGTACATCCCTGCCGGCCATTCCCTCCCCTACCCTGGACGACGCTGGGCCAATTGTGCGCCGCCCCATGGGTCTCCCGGTCACGGCAGGCTACGACAGAGCCTGGATTCGAACCAGGATCTCTAGTGGCACAGCTAGCACTGCAATGCAGTGCCTTAGACCAAATAAATAGCCTATAGCTGTGTCCAGTGGTGGAAAAAGTACACAATTGTCATACTTGAGTAAAAGTAAAGATACCTTAATAGAAAATGACTAAAGTGAAAGTCACCCAGTAAAATACTACTTGAGTAAAAGTCTGAAAGTATTTGTTTTGAAATATACTTAAGTATCAAAAGTAAATGTAATTGCTAAAATATACTTAAGTATCAAAAGTAAAAGTACAAATCATTTCAAAGTCCTTATATTAAGCAAACCAGATGGTGCCATTTTCATGTTTTTTTAATTTACGGAAAGCCAGGGGCACACTCCAACACTCAGACATCATTTACAAGCATTTGTGTTTAGTGAGCCGCCAGATTAGAGGCAGTAGGGATGACCAGGGATTTTCTCTTGATAATTGTGTGAATTGGACCCTTTTCCTGTCCTGCTAAGCATAAAAAATGTAACGAGAACTTTTGGGTGTCAGGGAAAATGTATGGCATAAAAAGTAAATTATTTTCTTTAGTAATGTAGTGAAGTAAAAGTAAAAGTTGTCAAAAATATAAATAGTAAAGTACAGATACCCCAAAAAACGACTTAAGTAGTACTTTAAAGTATTTTTACTTAAGTACTTTACACCACTGGCTGTGTCTGTCCGGAGCTCAGGGCACGGGAAATCTCTGAGGGTCACACAACACAATGCCACAGATGTCTCAAGTTTTAAGGGAGCGAGAAATTGGCATGCTGACTGCAGGAATGTCCACCAGAGCTGTTGCCAGAGAATTTAATGTTAATTTCTCTACCATAAGCTGCCTCCAACGTCATTTTAGAGAATTTGGCAGTACGTCCAACCGGCCTCACAACTGCAGACCACGTGTAACCACGCCAGCCCTCCAACATCCGGCTTCTTCACCTGCAGGATCGTCTGAGGGGGGGTGCTGAGGAGTATTTATGTCTGTAATAAAGCCCTTTTGTGGGAAAAAACTCATTCTGATTGGCTGGGCCTGGCTCCCAAGTGGGTGGGCCTCTCCAAGGCCCACCCATGACTACACCCCTGCCCAGTCATGTGAAAACCATAGATTAGGGCCTAATGAATTTATTTAAATTGACTGATTTCCTTATATGAACTGTAACTCAGTAATCTTTGAAGTTGTTGCATGTTGCGTTTATTTTTGTTCAGTATAAATATAACCATCAATATGCATTTCTATGACAAAAACAAAATGGTAGGAGTTACTAATCAAATGTTATATAAGTGAGCTGTATTTGTGTTTTCTGAATTAGGATTAAATGGGGGAGAACGGGGTTAAATGTAACGGGGGTCAGTTGTAACAGGATAAATAACTTGTTGTTGTGTTGCAGTGCCAGCTGGGTGTTCTGCCCCTGGGGACAGGAAATGACCTCGCCCGCGTCCTGGGCTGGGGCTCGGCCTGCGACGATGACGCACAGCTGCCTCAAATACTGGAGAAGCTTGAGAGGGCCAGCACCAAGATGCTTGACAGGTAGGAGAGGGAGGGAGGGAGGGAAGGAGGAGAGAGGGATGGAGGAATGAGAAGAGTGAGAGGGAGGAGGTAGGGGAGGGATAAGCTGTAGAGAGCCAGCACCAAGATGCTCGACAGGTAGGTGAGGGAGAGGGAGGGTAGAGGAGTATGGTGAGGAGGGAACGAGAGAGACTTAGGGAGGGAGGAGGAGAGAAGGAGGAGAACAGGGGGTGAGGGAAATATTCACCAAGATGCTTGACAGGTGAGAGAGGGATGAAGAGGGAGGAAGAGCATGTAACTAACTGTTAAAAAGTCACCATTAAAGGAACCATATGCAGAAATCACTCCGCCATTTCCTGGTTGTTAAAATTCTAATTTCAGTTTGTGACAAAACAGGCATTGATTGTGTAGAGAATCATTGTACCATCTAAACCGCTGTGAAATATATTTTCCATAACCAAAAATATTGTATTTTAAGCTCTTTGAAGCTGGTATACAAAACCGAAAGTAAAAGACGTAAAAACGAAACTTAAGAATGTGGGGACATAGAAGATATACCGCTTCTTAGACATGCTTTCATTGACAATGACAGATCTATAACTCAGATTTCTATGTGAATTTGGTCAGGTCGGCCAAAAAGTTACATATTGTAGCTTTAAGACAGCTATCATTAGTCCTCCCAGCCCCTAAACTATCCATTGTTTTTATTTCTTGTCCAGGTGGAGTATTATGGTATACGAGACCAAGTTCCCGCGGCAACATTCCAGCTCCATGGTGACGGAGGATTGCAGCGATGACTCTGAGGTACCTGTCAATGACATAAATTCCTGTTATACACATCCTGATAGTTTTAGCTGAATTTGAATACAATTGCAGTTACATGCCATTTATGGAGTCGTCAGACACTTGTCTTCAGATATACAGTATGTAGGCTACTGAGCTTGTCTGATGCTTTAAGCACACTGTGATTTAAATAACGAAGACACACAAATGACTCAAGAGGGAGCCAGAGATCAAGATAGCCTAACCAAAATAAAAAATAAAAACCTGTTCCCAAACCACCACCTCCTGCTGCTGCTGGCCTTCAGAGATTCTGCCATTACGCTCCTGAAGTTGCTGGAGTGCCAATTAAATGAAACTGTTCCACGAAAATGTGCATATGAAAATCATAACTGGCACGCAGATCAGTAGAAATGGTAAGACACATTTTGTTTTACCATTTCTACCGATCTGCGTGCCAGTTATGACTTTCATATGCACACTTTCGTGGGACAGTTTCATTTATTTTATAATAAAGTCTTTGTATCTCAAAATCATTGTCATGTGGTTAATAAAAATTATATCTAAATGAAAATTATACAAATCTAAATGTAACATCTATTGCCATTGCCAACTATGTAAAAATAGCCTACATAAAGCCAACAAATAAAAACATTGCAGCCTGCAGGTAGAAAATATCCTGAATAAAAATAACCGCATGGCAAGGATTTTAAAACATTGTATCAACTATCAACTTGGTCCAGCCTGAAGCTTACCCTAACAAACTTGCAACATTGTATAAAATATCAGCCCTGAGCTCCTGACAGACACAGCTGTAGGCTATTTATTTGCGCAAAGGATAAGAAGTAATCAGGTAGGCGTATTTTATGATGTTTCCACCAGATCAGAGCATTACATTTGTTTTCCCTTTCACACAGAGTGGTTATCGAAATATTTTTCAAATAGGCTACATTGAGGAGCTATTGTCATTCTCAATGGATGTAGAAACAGACTTTGTTTACTTGCTGTTTGAGGTGAAGAAAGAATTACTATAAGAAGCTCCACAGCTCATTAGTGGTGGTGAGTTAAGACAATCAGAAATACTATCAGATCCCCAAATGGGCACATTTATAAGGCTACATTTGCGTGCAGGCCAGGTAGCCTAGGCTTACTTCTATGCGTAATCAGGTTTGCGTCCTTACTCAACATTGACAGGAGCGCTCCAAACAAAACACAATTAATATACTGAACAAAAATATAAATGCAACATGCAACATTTTCATTGATTTTACTAATTTACAGTTCATATGAGGAAATCAATCAATTTAAATAAATTCATTGGGCCCTAATTTATGAATTTCACATGACTGGGAATACAGATATGCAACTGTTGGTCACAGATGCTGTTGAATCAGTTTATTGATATGCCACACCTGTCAGGTGGATGGATTATCTTGGCTAAGGAAGAATGCTCACTAACATGGATGTAAACAAATATGTGCAAAGCAATTTGAAAAAAATAAGCTTTTTGTGCATGTGGAACATTTCTGGGATCTTTTATTTCAGCTCATGAACATGGCAACAACACTTTACATGTTGCGTTTATATTTTTGTTCAGTGTAAATTAACAACTCGTAAATGGAATGACATTTTCCAAAACTTGTTTCTCACAAGTGTAGCCTAGATTGTGCACTCTGTAAACAACGTGTCCACTCTGACAATGAGAACAGTAAAATACTAATAATAATATATTGAATGCATTAACAGAAATTATGGTAACCAAACAAACATTGTAGATTAGAAATTAACGGTAAATGTACTACTGGTGATACTGGTGTGCCTCCACAATGTCACCTTGGAGAGTGATGTCTGGTCACATGGTATGTTGAATGCTGAACGAGAGACCTTGGTTTATTGTTTTTATCAAGTTGTGACAGTGGTTCCTTGCAAAGTTTGATTTTTATACTTTTTGAGTTTGGATCCCGCAACTCTGTTAGTCTCAGTTGCTGTGACCGGTACTATCTTCCCGAGATCCTGCCAGACCAAAAAGTCTGAAGTTGTTTACCGATGCTAGCTACTAGCCTAGCTGGTAGCTATCAGTATCAAACTAGCAGGGTTATCCACAAGCAGCTTGAACACAGCCCGCGATGCGGTTAGCCTTTGTGGCTGGGACCGCTGAGGTGTCCCACACTAATTGTGGCTGTATTCCCTGCTGCTTTTTCCCTGCAACCTGACCTGGCTGGAACTGCGTTGTATAGCTACCAACGTTAGCTGATGCTGCTACCAACAGTACGTGCAAAGACACTGCTTTCACATAAAGACACATATTTCTGCTTTTTGGATTTTGCAATTTGTGTGAGCTCTTTTTGTTCACTTAGTTGAGAATTCCATATAAAGAGAGAGACATGGAAGCCCAGCTAGCCTAGCTGGCCGGCAGTATCAAATGGAGGTCGCTATTGAACGTTTTCAACGCTGCAGGAGCTGTGTTTACTTTGCTTTATTCCAGGACAATGTTGACCACCCAGACTTTCAATGTAGCAACTGTTTGCTTGCAGAGGACTACAGGGGCGAAGTGGCTACTCTTAGCAAACAAGTAGCAAACCTACACAAGCTACAGGGGAACCCACGCCTGCCTACTTTTTCTTTCTCGTCTACCCCAGTAGCCAGACGCCGCTCTGGTGTGGTGGAAGTTTCAACGCCTGGCCGGTACTCTGCAGGGATCCCTCCTCGAAGGGGTCTCCCCCTTCCCTGGAGAATGGAGCTAGTAGGATGCTCATGGATGACTTGGGGGATGTTCCTGTTCTCAACCCAACCAACCAGCCATGGAGATATGTCACTCGTCGTGGAAGTCGAAGACAGTGTCCTCTGGCAAAGGGGGCCTCCTTGGAGATGTTAAGCCCGGTCCAGGCACAGACCAGAAACGGCTTCGCCGTCCTGGATTCAGAGGTTCCGGCGCCGCCTTCCCTAGGGGCTTCCGATTCAAGATCGGATCCGGAGCTACTTGCGCCTTCGTCCTCTGTTCCGTCTCCCTCTCCGGTGGCTTCTACCTTGGGTTCAGATCCTCAGAGCTCCCACCCTCATCAGACCATGAGGCTGCCTGAGACTCCGGCCCATTCATCATCCACGATGGATACTACAGCTGGATTTGGTCCATCACCCTTCGGTCTTCGAGGCGTTTGCGAAACCACTTGAGGCGAAAGAACGTCCAGACCTCCTCAGCCATTGCACCAGCTGTCGTCATCGCCATCTCTATTGTAAGAAACATCTTGGTTCCCGGAGCATAAACCCTGTGCTATCCTGGAGCACGAGTACAGGACATTACAAGGCTGCTTCCGACCATTTTGTTGTTGTTATTCTGTCTCTCACTGTTCATATAAACCTACCATTAAAATTATAGACTGATCATTTCTTTGTCAGTGGGCAAACGTACAAAATCAGCAGGGGATCAAATACTTTTTTCCCTCACTGTATGTAGTGGTATAATGATGTACTGTTTTATCTTTTGTTTTATAAGTAATGTAAGTGCCTTAATGTGTTTGGACCACCAGTTGACTAAATGGGGTCAGCCCTAATATTTACAGTGCATTCGGAAAGTATTCAGACCCTTTGACTTTTTCCACATTTTGTTACGTTACAGGCTTTTTTTTACAGAAATTTTTCTAAATTCATTCAAAATAAAAAACAGAAATCAAATCAAATTGTATTTGTTACATGTGCCGAATACAACAGGTGTAGACCTTACTGTGAAATGCTTACTTACAAGCCCTTAACCAACAATGCTGGGGGGGGGGGTCAATGCAAATAGTCCGGGTAGCCATTTCATTAGCTGTTCAGCAGTCTTATGGCTTGGGGGTAGAAGCTGTTAAGAAGCCTTTTGGACCTAGACTAGGCTCCGGTACCGCTTGCCGTGCGGTAGCAGAGAGAACAGTCTATGACTAGGGTGACTGGAGTCTTTGCCAATTTTTAGGGCCTTCCTCTGATACCGCCTGGTATAGAGGTCCTGGATGGCAGGAAGTTTTCCCCCAGTGACGTACTGGGCCGTACGCACTACCCTCTGTAGCGCCTTGTGGTCGGAGGCCGAGCAGTTGCCATACCAGGCGGTGATGCAACCAGTCAGGATTCTCTCTGGTGCAGCTGTATAACTTTTTGAGGATCTGAGGACCCATTCCAAATATTTTCAGTCTCCTGAGGGGGACTAGGCATTGTTGTGCCCTCTTCACAACGGTCTTGGTATGTTTGGACCATTACATTTTAGTAATTTGGACCATGATAGTTTGTTGGTGATGTGGACACCAAGGAACTTCAAGCTCTCAACCTGTGTGTCTAGGGTTTCTGGGATGATGGTGTTGATGTGAGCCATGACCAGCCTTTCAAAGCTCTTCATGGCTACAGACGTGAGTGCTACGGGTCGCTAGTCGTTTAGGCAGGTTACCTTAGTGTTCTTGGGCACGGGGACTATGGTGGTCTGCTTGAAACATGTAGGTATTACAGACTCGGCCAGGGACAGGTTGAAAATGTCAGTGAAGACACTTGCCAGTTGCTCGGAGTACACGTCCTGGTAATCCGTCTGCGGCCTTGTGAATGTTGACCTGTTTAAAGGTCTTACTCACATCGGCTACGGCGAGCTTGATCACACAGTCGTCCGGAACAGCTGGTGCTCTCATGCATGTTTCAGTGCTGCTTGCCTCAAAGCCTGCATATAAGTAATTTATCTAGTCTGGTAGGCTTTTGTTCCTGGGCAGCTCACGGCTGGGCTTCCCTTTGTAGTCCGTAATAGTTTGCAAGCCTTGCCACATCCGACGAGCGTCGGAGCTGGTGTAGTAGGATTCAATCTTAGTCCTGTATTTACGCGTTGCCTGTTTGATGGTTTGTCTGAGGGCATAGCGGGATTTCTTATAAGCGGCCGGGTTAGAGTCCCGCTCCTTGAAAGCGGCAGCTCTACCCTTTAGCTCAGTGCAGATGTTGCCTCTAATCCATGGCTTCTGGTTGGGGTATTGACGTACGGTCACTGTGGGGACAATGTCATCGATGCACTTATTGATGAAGCCGATGACTGATGTGGTATACTCAATGCCGAAGGTTCACCATCCATCAGGACAATGACCCTAAGCACACAGCCAAGACAACACAGGAGTGTCTTCAGGACAAGTCTCTGAATGTCCTTGAGTGGCCCAGACAGAGCCCGGACTTGAACCCGATTTAACATCTCTGGAGAGACCTGAAAATAGCTGTGCAGCGACGCTCCCCATCCAACCTGACATAGCTTGAGAGGATCTGCAGAGAAGAATGAGAGAAACTCCCCAAATACAGGTGTGCCAAGCTTGTAGCGTCATACCCAAGAAGACTCGAGGCTGTAATTGTTGCAAAAGGGGCTTCAACAAAGTACTGAGTAAAGGGTCTGAATACTTATGTAAATGTGATATTTCAGTTTTTTTTTTGTAATACATTTGCAAAAATGTATAGATCTGTTTTTGCTTTGACATTATGGGGCGTTGTGTGTAGATTGATGAGGGGGAAAAACAATTTAATCAATTTTAGAATAAGGCTGTAACGTAACAAAATGTGGAAAAAGTCAAGCGATCTGAATACTTTCCGAATGCTCTGTGTGAGGTGATGCTGTGCAGTTTAAGACACATTTCCTGAAGACTAGCCTGTTTTCGACCTTGATTGTTACCTGTGCCACAGGTGCAACAGATTCTGACCTACGAGGACTCTGTGGCAGCCCACTTGACCAAGATCCTGACTTCAGATCAGCACTCAGTGGTCATCTCCTCAGCTAAGTATGTTTGTCGCTTCAATCAGTCTGCCTGCCTGCTATGTCCATTCCGTTTCTTATGTCCAGCTTCACTATCGCAAGGGTTGTTAGGTGTGGATTTCGTTGACCTGACTGTGTGTGTGTGTTGTGCCTGTGTTTTGCATTTTTGTAGGGTACTGTGTGAGACAGTGAAGGACTTTGTGGCTCGGGTGGGGAAGGCCTACGAGAAGAACAAGGAGAGCTCCGAGGAGTCAGAGGCTATGGCCAAGAAGGTAAGCTGGGAGGAACCATGGCTTTGTCCCAATTATCTCACCTTGTTGACATCCCTTCACTGATTTTATGTAAATGACTGGTATTGGAAATATGGTGGAAACTCCCTCCAGCCATGTTTGCACTAATCCAGTGAATCCGATCTGTGTTGATTGGTCGGTTGGTTGCAGTGTGGGGTTCTGAAGGAGAAGCTGGACTCGCTGCTGAAGACGCTCAACGAGGAGGCGCAGGCATCTACTATGATGCCTGCCCCCCCCCCCACCATCGCTGAGGAGCAGGAGGAGGGCGAGGGGGTTCTGGTGCCTTCGTCGCCCGCACCCGCTGCCCTCCCGTGCTCCCCCAGGCCCCTGACGGGTATCTTTAAACCCAGGGAACAGCTGATGCTGAGAGCCAACAGCCTGAAGAAAGCCATCAGGCAGATCATTGAGCACACTGAGAAAGGTGAGATGTGATCTTCCTACCGCTACTTCTGTTCTATAGAGTTCATGGTTGGGGTCAATTCAGGAAGTAAACTGAATTTCCAATTCAGACCTCCATGAAAAGCAATTATGAAAATTGGAATTAGAATTACAATAAGGTTATTTTTCCTGTAAGGGAACTTTTTGTCTGATGTGGTAAAAAAAAATAAACAAACATAAAAACATAGTAGACTACACTGATCTACTTCACATACTTGATGTTTCACATGTTACATAAAAACAGGACAGACAAAACATCAAAGCCATGAGCATTGCAACAGTAGAGCAGGACTCCTGGGTAACCTTGTAGCCATGTCTCAGATCAGGCTTGATAGTTATTGGAATACGAATTTCAGTTGACTTCCTGAATTGAGTGAAGCGAAATGGAATGGATGTACCCCAACCCTGATATAATATAGTTGCCATCTATCATCTATACTCATCTTCTATCAGCGGTGGACGAGCAGAATGCCCAGACTCAGGAGGTGTTTGCTCTGGGGGTGGAGGAGGAGGGGGAGGAGGAGGAGGAGGAGGAAGAGCAGGACAAGCTGTCTCTGCAGTCGTCCTACAGCGGGAACGCCTGTAAAAGCACCAGGAGTCATCCAATCCGCAGAGGTCAGTCATTGAACCCGGAGTCTCCTAACCTGGGTCATGTTAATTTGGTACCAAACGTAAGAAAACAGTTCGAACCAGGGAAGGACCACCTTTTAAATTGTTTTTCGTTATGTGCCCTAATGAACACGGCCCAGATGAAACTGATCATTTAATTAATGATGCGTGCCCATTTTTTCTTGAAGATTATCACTTATAAATGTGCGTTGTTTTTCAAATGAGTGGGTCTTTAATCAAGATCCCAGTGTCTCATGTCTTTCTGTGTCTCATGTCTTTCTGTGTCTCATGTCTTTCTGTGTCGCATGTCTTTCTGTATCTCTGTTTCATCCTGTAGTGTCCAAGACTCCTTGTGAGAAGCTCATCAGCAAAGGAAGCCTGTCACTGGGCAGCTCAGCGTCACTTCCTGCCCAGACAGGAAGTCGCGAGAACATGCCGATGCTCAACACCAAGATCCTCTACCCAAGTAAGGGCACAAGTTCTCACCAGCTCTGTACCGAGGGCCCTCAGTTCCCAAATCGACCCCGACCCCCTTGGACACTTGTGTACATTGTAGTGCTGCGCGATTAGTTCTTTTTGAGGTCGGTTCGATTATAAAAAACAAATCACAATTTTCAATTTCAGTTTCGATATTTCTTTTTAAACAAATGCACTATGCATTATGTGAGTTAAATGCTGTAACAACACAGAATAAAACAATTAATTAAAGTCCTGGGACGGTAGTGACTGCCCATTACTGCTTATCACTAAATAACGATCAGTTATTCACATTACTTTACTTTAATAAAATATTTCAGTTGTTGTGTATATAATTTTTTTTTTATTTGATGACTTTATTATTTCATTCCAAGTCATCATCTCATCTCTATAGAGCTGCTGCCTATGCTGTCTGACAAAATCACTATTTTAGTAGTTCTTCAAAGTAAATAAAGCATACTTTTAGGACTGCTGAATACCAACTAACAATCACTTACAGTGAGGGAAAAAAGTATTTGATCCCCAGCTGATTTTGTACGTTTGCCCACTGTCAAAGAAATGATCAGTCTATCATTTTAATGGTAGGTTTATTTGAACAGTGAGAGACAGAATAACAACAACAAAAATCCAGAAAAACGCATGTCAAAAATGTTATAAATTGATTTGCATTTTAATGAGGGAAATAAGTATTTGACCCCCTCTCAATCAGAAAGATTTCTGGCTCCCAGGTGTCTTTTATACAGGTAACGAGCTGAGATTAGGAGCACACTCTTAAAGGGAGTGCTCCTAATCTCAGCTTGTTACCTGTATAAAAGACACCTGTCCACAGAAGCAATCAATCAATCAGATTCCAAACTCTCCACCATGGCCAAGACCAAAGAGCTCTCCAAGGATGTCAGGGACAAGATTGTAGACCTACACAAGGCTGGAATGGGCTACAAGACCATCGCCAAGCAGCTTGGTGAGAAGGTGACAACAGTTGGTGCGATTATTCGCAAATGGAAGAAACACAAAAGAACTGTCAATCTCCCTCGGCCTGGGGCTCCATGCAAGATCTCACCTCGTGGAGTTGCAATGATCATGAGAACGGTGAGGAATCAGCCCAGAACTACACGGGAGGATCTTGTCAATGATCTCAAGGCAGCTGGGACCATAGTCACCAAGAAAACAATTGGTAACACGCTACGCCGTGAAGGACTGAAATCCTGCAGCGCCCACAAGGTCCACCTGCTCAAGAAAGCACATATACAGGGCCGTCTGAAGTTTGTCAATGAACATCTGAATGATTCAGAGGAGAACTGGGTGAAAGTGTTGTGGTCAGATGAGACCAAAATCGAGCTCTTTGGCATCAACTCAACTTGCCGTGTTTGGAGGAGGAGGAATGCTGCCTATGACCCCAAGAACACCATCCCCACCGTCAAACATGGAGGTGGAAACATTATGCTTTGGGGGTGTTTTTCTGCTAAGGGGACAGGACAACTTCACCGCATCAAAGGGACGATGGACGGGGCCATGTACCGTCAAATCTTGGGTGAGAACCTCCTTCCCTCAGCCAGGGCATTGAAAATGGGTTGTGGATGGGTATTCCAGCATGACAATGACCCAAAACACACGGCCAAGGCAACAAAGGAGTGGCTCAAGAAGAAGCACATTAAGGTCCTGGAGTGGCCTAGCCAGTCTCCAGACCTTAATCCCATAGAAAATCTGTGGAGGGAGCTGAAGGTTCGAGTTGCCAAACGTCAGCCTCGAAACCTTAATGACTTGGAGAAGATCTGCAAAGAGGAGTGGGACTAAATCCCTCCTGAGATGTGTGCAAACCTGGTGGCCAACTACAAGAAACGTCTGACCTTTGTGATTGCCAACAAGGGTTTTGCCACCAAGTACTAAGTCATGTTTTGCAGAGGGGTCAAATACTTATTTCCCTCATTAAAATGCAAATCAATTTATAACATTTTTAACATGCTTTTTTCTGGATTATTTTTTTGTTATTCTGTCTCTCACTGTTCAAATAAACCTACCATTAAAATTATAGACTGATCATTTCTTTGTCAGTGGGCAAACATACAAAATCAGCAGGGGATCAAATACTTTTTTCCCTCACTGTAGATCATGTATTTTCAGGTAGAGATACCTGGCGAAGAAACTGCTCTCTATGTATCCCCTCTTGATCCGCATTTTTCTGTCCCTTACGTAGCAGGCGTAAAAGAAACACAGACCGGTCATTGTAGTTAGTTTAGCATAGAAAACTTGATAATTATGTTGAACATTGGCCTGTTGGAAACTACAACTGCCTACTACATGGCACAGTTTGGGCATGATCTGATTCATCTCTAGAGAAACTGCAGCGCAATGTGCGCATTGAGCTCGCAGAGAAAACCAGAATGAAATGGAATTCAAATAATTGAACCAATATTGGCCATATAGTTGTTTAAAAAACGAAAAATAACCAACATTTTGGTTAATCGCTCAGCACTAGTACACCGGAAATAATTGACACCTATTTGTAACAATATTAGACATTATATTCCTGTGATATACACTACGAGTCAAAAGTTTGGACACACCTACTCATTCAAGGGTTTTTATTTATTTTTACTATTTTTTATATTGTAGAATAATAGTGAACACATCAAAACTATGAAATAACACATATGGAATCATGTAGTAACCAAAAAAGAGTTATTCAAATAGCCACCCTTTGCCTTGATGACAGCTTTGCACACTCTTGGCATTCGCTCAACCAGCTTCATGAGGTAGTCACCTGGAATGCATTTCAATTAACAGGTGTGCCTTCTTAAAAGTTAATTTTTGGAATTTCTTTCCTTCTTAATGCGTTTGAGCCAATCAGTTGTGTTGTGACAAGGTAGGGGGGTATACAGAAGATAGCCCTATTTCGTAAAAGACCAAGTCCATATTATGGCAAGAAAACCTCAAATAAGCAAAGAGAAACGACAGTCCATCATTACTTTAAGACATGAAGGTCAGTCAATCCGGAAAAGTTCAAGAACTTTGAAAGTTTCTTCAAGTGCAGTCGCAAAAACCATCAAGCGCTATGATAAAACGGGCTCTCATGAGGACCGCCACAGGAATGGAAGACCCAGATTTACCTCTGCTGCAGGATAAGTTCATTAGAATTACCAGCCTCAGAAATTGCAGCCCAAATAAATGAACAGAGTTCAAGTCAGACACATCTCAACATCAACTGTTCAGAGGGGACTGTGTGAATCAGGCCTTCGTGGTTGAATTGCTGCGAAGAAACCACTACTAAAGGACACCAATATGAAGAAGAGACCTGCTTGGGCCAAGAAACACGAGCAATGGACATTAGACCGGTGGAAATGTGTCCTTTGGTCTGGAGTCCAAATTTGATATTTTTGGTTCCAACGGGGCCGTGTCTTTGTGAGACGCGGTGTGGGTGAACGGAGGATCTCTGCATGTGTAGTTCCCATCGTAAAGCATGGAGGAGGAGGTGTTATGGTGTGGGGGTGCTTTGCTGGTGACACTGTCTGTGATTTATTTAGAATTCAAGGCACACTTAACCAGCATGGATACCACAGGATTCTGCAGTGATACGCCATCCCATCTGGTTTGGGGTTAGTGGGACTATCATTTGTTTTTCAACAGGACAATGACCCAACACACCTCCAGGCTGTGTAAGGGCTATTTTACCAAGAAGGAGAGTGATGGAGTGCTGCATCAGATGACCTGGCCTCCACAATCCCCCGACCTCAACCCAATTGAGATGGTTTGGGATGAGTCGGACGGCAGAGTGAAGGAGAAGCAGCCAACAAGTGCTCAGCATATGTGGGAACTCCTTCAAGACTGTTGGAAAAGCATTCCAGGTGAAGCTGGTTGAGATAATGCCAAGAGTGTGCAAAGCTGTCATCAAGGCAAAGGGTGGCTATTTGTAGAATCTCAAATATAAAATATATTTTGCTTTGTTTAACACTTTTGGTTACTACATTATTCCATATGTGTTATTTCATAGTTTTGATGTATTCACTATTATTCTACAATGTAGAAAATAGTAAAAATAAATAAAAACCCTTGAATGAGTAGGTGTGTCCAAACTTTTGACTGGTACTGTAATTTTGCTCTGTCTGTGCTCAATTGTCAGTCAGTGTTAAGTGTGTGTGTGTTTATGTGTGTGTTCAGGTCTCAGGGCTGGTATCTCTGGCTCCCTCTCCAGCAGTTCGGTCATCAGCAGACTGCTGGTCAACGCTGACTCCTTCAGCTTCGACCCAGAGACCTTGTGAGTGTCCACGTTTCAGTCTTTCTCCTCCTTCCCATAAAGGGTTAGTTAACTTTTTAGGTTTTAGCTGATTTTCAACTTACCTTTGGTGTTGTAATTTCATCCAAACCGTTTGTAGGTTTGTTAGCTGGTTATTAAACAACGTCCAGAATTTCCTGACCAGCGTCTTTGGAGCATGGAGCAATGCTAGTGGACACGGATTGAAGTAGCTAGTGGTATATTAAAAAGCATGGGAAAGAGCTCTGCCTTCCTCTTTCAATGTCCCTGCTTTCCCCATGCGTTTGAAGTGAACGATCCCGTTATGCCCAACCTCATCGTCATCATCTAACTTTTGAGCCAGAGTTGTGAGTGACCATGTACTGTGTTTGGTTTCAGTGACTGCTACACTGAGAAATGTGTGATGAACAACTACTTTGGGATCGGCCTGGATGCTAAGATCTCACTGGACTTCAACAATAAGCGGGACGAGCATCCAGAGAAGTGCAGGTAACTGAGGAATGAGGCGGAAGCTCTCGCCTGCTAACTAAACCAGGTAGACCCAGTCCTGGATAGGGTGAGAAGCAGAGATGGAGTCTTGATCTCGTGGTCTTTGTCTTGAGACCACATAAATACAGTGTTGGTCTGGTCATGGTCTCAATACACAGGGTCTTGATAGATTGGGTCTGGGTCTCAATAGATTGGGTCTGGGTCTCAAGTGGTCTAGTCTGGGTCAGTGTAAAACTGTAAAACAGACCAAACAGTTTAGAAATTAACTTTTGGGATTGGAAAAACACTTTGTGTAAACTTAAACGACAAAAATTAAATAGAAAGTAGAAAATATTATGTAAATAACAATCACCAAAGTAAAACCAGTCAGGGAGAATCGAAAATTCAAAAAACAATTAATTCAGGAATATTTGTCTGACCGGGCAAGAAGGGCACACCGATTGGGGCCCACTTTGATTTTCTTATAATGTTTGAGCATAAGAACACTGCGTTAGCCAAGGCAAAATGCGCTGAACTGTAGGAAATTAGTCCGAAATCAGTCCCATGTCTTCGCAAAATGTCTGTATTGCCGCAGGAAAATCAAAGCAAAATAAAGAAACCCCCAAAATCCTGGAGAGACTGTTTATAGCTCAGACACACCGCAAAGACCAACGGCTAAAAGCAGTGAGTGGCCGCGACATGTTAGCTTTTACCTGCTTTTACCTTCGTCCTCACAGTGTGTTTTGTCCTTTAGAATAGCAATGTCTTCCATTTCTGTGCCACTGCTCTCCACAAAGAGCCTAACGTTTCTTTGTCGAACATAAAGTACATTTCTTTGTGTTTTGTGTTTTGGTTCTATGTATATGTATGTGTGTGCTCGGTCACTGTGTTAAGATGTGGGTCGGTCTGTGTTCAGGAGTCGCACCAAGAACATGATGTGGTACGGGGTTCTGGGCACCAAGGAGCTGCTGCATCGCACCTACAAGAACCTAGAGCAGAAGGTACTGCTGGAGGTAAGAAAACACAACAGTAACCAAGTGGGTGCAACTAAGGGTATGGCCATTTTGAGATTTTGTCTGAATATCCCGGATGGAGCCAATGGTTTTTCAATGGCTGTCATCCGTTGCTGGATGAATGACAACAGAGATTAGTTAAAATTGTCCAACAAAAAACTTGTCAGACAAAGAACAATATATCCGCCTTTGTACGTGTGCAACTCATTCGGAAAAAAAGCAGAGATGCGTTAAACTTTCGACAGACAAAAAAAACGGACAATGATGTACGTCATATATTTTACGTGTCATGCGCCTCAGTGTGCCGTACCCTAAAGAGACATCCCATAAATCTAACCCTGACCCTAAGGGGCAATCTGGGATTGGCACATCCGTTTTTGGACTTTTCGATTAATGTCTGGTGTTGTGATTGTGGGAGTTTGTATCAGAGCATATGCAGACAGTTTTGTTCTGTTACAATATGATAATATGTGTGTTTAGTGCGACGGGAGGTCTATCCCCCTACCCAGTCTGCAGGGCATAGCTGTCCTGAACATCCCCAGCTACGCAGGCGGCACCAACTTCTGGGGCGGGACCAAAGAGGATGATGTAAGTGTCATCAAAACCCTCTCTTTGTGTTGTTGTTGCATAACTACAATATGACTCAGTACTCACATGTTTCTTCCACATTTTTGTTTTTAATGTTTTAAGCATCTTTGGGTCTTTGTAAAGTGCTATGTAAATCACAAGTATTATTAATATTTGTATAATAATGATAATTATTATTTAACCCCTTCCCTCTACAAAACCAGAATACACCCAGCACAAATCTAACCCACATCACATCAATCCCCCCAGTCAGCGTTGTGTTTATGTGTGACTAACCACATATGAGATATACTCTGAGTGTACAAAACATTAGGAACACATGCTCTTTCCATGACATAGACTGACCAGGTGAATCCAGATGAAAGCTATGATCCCTTATTGATGTCATAGATGAAGGGGAGGAGACGGGTTAAAAAATTATTTTTAAGCCTTGAGACATGGATTGTGTATGTGTGCCATTCAGAGGGTGAATGGGCAAGACAAAATATTTAAGTGCCTTTGAACGGGGTGTGGTAGTAGGTGTCAGGCGCACCGGTTTGAGGGTGTCATGAACTGCAATGCTGCTGGGTTTCTCACGCTCAACAGTTTTCCGTGTGTATCAAGAATGGTCCACCACCCAAAGGACATCCAGCCAACTTGACACAACTATGGGAGGCATTGGAGACAACATGGGCCAGCATCTCTGTGGAACGCTTTCGACACCTTGTAGAGTTCATGCCCTGATGAATTGAGGCTGTTCTGAGGACAAAAGGGGGTGTAACTCAATATTAGGAAGGTGTTCCTAATGTTTTGTACACTCAGTGTACAGTGTACAATGCACAACATATACAGTGCATTCGGAAAGTATTCAGACCCCTTGACTTTTTCCACATTTTGTTACGTTAAAGCCTTATTCTGAAATGGATAAAACAAATTTTTTAAAGTATTCCTCATCAATCTACACACAATACCCCATAATGACAAAGCAAAAAACAATTTTTGTGAAATTTTTGCTAATGTATTAAAAATAAGTATTGAGACCCTTTACTCAGTACTTTGTTGAAGCACCTTTGGCAGGGATTACAGCCTCGAGTCTTCTTGGGTATGACGCTACGAGCTTGGCACCTGTATTTGGGGAGTTTCTCCCATTCTACTCTGCAGATCCTCTCAACCTCTGTCAGGTTGGATGGGGAGCGTCGCTGCACAGATATTTTCAGGTCTCTCCAGAGATGTTCGATCGGGTACAAGTCCGGGCTCTGTCTGGGCCACTCAAGGACATTCAGAGACTTGTCCCGAAGCCACTCCTGCATTGTCTTGGCTGTGTGCTTAGGGTTGTTGTCCTGTTGGAAGGTGAACCTTCACCCCAGTCTGAGGTCCTGAGCGCTCTGGAGCAGGTTTTCATCAAGGATCTCTCTGTACTTTGCTCTTTTCATCTTTCCCTCGATCCTGGCTAGTCTCCCAGTCCCTGCCATTGAAAAACATTCCCACAGCATGATGCTGTCACCACCATGCTTCACCGTAGGGATGGTGCCATGTTTCCTCGAGACATGATGCTTGGCATTCAGGCCAAATATTTCAATCTTGGTTTCATCAGGCCAGATAATCTTGTTGCTCATGGTCTGAGAGTCCTTTAGGTGCCTTTTGGCAAACTCTAAGCGGGATGTCATGTGCCTTTAACTGAGGAGTGGCTTCTGTCTGGCCACTCTACCATAAAGGCCTGATTGGAGGAGTGCTGCAGAGACGGTTGTCCTTCTGGAAGGGTCTCCCATCTCCACAGAGGAACTCTGGAGCTCTGTCAGAGTGACCATCAGGTTCTTGGTCACCTCCCTGACCAAGGTCCTTCTTCCCCGATTGCTCAGTTTGGCTGGGCGGCCAGCTCTAAGAAGAGTCTTGGTGGTTCCAAACTTCTTCCATTTAAGAATGCAGGGGGCCACTGTGTTCTTGGGCACCTTCAATGCTGCAGACATTTTTTGGGACCCTTCCCCAGATCTGTGCTTCTTCACAATCCTGTCTCTGAGCTCCACGAACAATTCCTTTGACCTCATGGCTTAGTGTTTGCTCTGACATGCACTGTCAACTGTGGGACATTATATAGACAGGTGTGTGCCTTTCCAAATCATGTCCTATCAATTGTATTTACCACAGGTGGACTCCAATCAAGTTGTAGAAACAGCTCAAGGATTATCAATGGAAACAGGATGCACATGAGCTCAATTTCAAGTCTCATAGCAAAGGGTCTGAATACTTACGTAAATCAGGTATTTTATTTGTTATTTGTATTTTTTTTTTAATTTGCTAACATTTCTAAAAACCTGTTTTCGCTTTGTCATCATGGGGTATTGTGTGTAGATTGATGAGGATTCTTATTTTTTTAAATCCATTTTAGAATTAAGGCTGTAACGTAACAAAATGTGGAAAAGTCAACGGTTCTGGATACTTTCCTAATTCACTGTATGTTCACACCCCCTGACTTTTGAAAAATGTTGTGTTATAGCCTGAATTTAAAATGGATTAAATTGCGATTTTTTTTGTCACTGGACTACACACAATACCCCATAATTTGAAAGTGGAATTGTGTTTTTCAAAATGTTTACAAATTAATAAAAATAAAAAAGCTGAAATATCTTACGTCAATAAGTATTCAACCCCTTTGTTATGGCAAGCCTAAATAAGTTCAAGAGTAAAACTTTGCTTAACAAGTCACATAATAAGTTGCATGAACTATAATAATGTTTAACTTTATTTTTGAATGACTACATACAATTATCTGTAAGGTCCCTCAGGTGTGCAGTGAATTTCAAACAGATTTAACCACAAAGAAGGACAGCTATTGGTAGATGCGTAAAAATAAGAAAAGCAGACATTGAATATCCCTTTGAGCATGGTGAAGTTGTTAATTACACTTTGGAGTGTGTATCAAAACACCCAGTCACTACAAAGATACAGGCGTCCTTCCTAACTCAGTTGCCGGAGAGGATGGAAACTGCTCAGAGTTCACCATGAGGCCTAACAGTTACGGTTTAATGGCTGTAATAGGACAAAACAACATTGTAGTTACTCCACAATATTAACCTAATTGATAGAGTGAAAAGAAGGAAGCCTGTGCAGAATAAAAATATTACAAAATATGCATCCTGTTTGCAACAAGGTACTACAGTAATACTGCAAAAAAATGTAATTTTTGTATAAAGTGTTATGTTTGGGGCAAATTCAATACAACACATTACTGAGTACCACTCTCCACATTTTCAAGCATAGTGGTGGCTGCATCATGTTATGGGTATGTTTGTAATTGTTAAGGACTGGGGAGTTTTTCAGGATAAAAAAGAAATGGAATAGAGCTAAGCACAATTACAAAACTGAGTTATTCTGCTGTTTTGGCCTTTTGCTTCCTTATTTACCTTAATCTTTTATTTTTGTCCCTCTGTGACACAGATTTTTTCTTTTTATGGGTCACTCAAGTCAATACATGTTAGAATCACCTTTGGCAGCGATTACAGCTGTGAGTCTTTCAGGATAAGTCTCTAAGAGCTTTGCACACCTGGATTGTACAATATTTGCACATTATTATTTTTATAATTCTTCAAGCTCTTGTCAAGTTGGTTTGTTGATCATTGCTAGACAGCAATTTTCAAGTCTTGCCATAGATTTGCAAGCCGATTTTAAGTCAAAACTGTAACTAGGCAACTCAGGAAAATTCAATGTCGTCTTGCTAAGCTACTCCAGTGTATATTTGGCCTTGGTTTTAGGAATCTGTCTCCCAGTGTCTGTTGGAAAGCAGACTGAACCAGGTTTTCCTTTAGGGTTTTGGCTGTGCTTAGCTTTATTGCGTTTATTTTTATCCCCAAAACAATTCCCTAATCCTTGCCGATGACAAGCATACCCATAACATGATGCAGCCACCACCATGCTTGAAAATATGAAGAGTGGTACTCAGTGTTGTGTTGCATTTGCTCCAAACATAACGCTTCATATTCAGGACATAAAGTTAATTTCTTTGCCACATTTTCTGCAGTTTTACTTGAGTGCCTTATTGCAAACAGGATGCATGTTTTGGAATATTTTTATTCTGTACAGGCTTCCTTCTTTTCACTCTGTCATTTAGGTTAGTATTGTGGAGTAACTACAATATTGTTGATCCATCCTCAGTTTTCTCCTATCACAGCCATTTAAACTCTGAAACTGTTTTAAAGTCACCATTTTTATTTATTATGGATCCCCATTAGCTGCTGCCAAGGCAGCAGCTACTCTTCCTGGGGTCCAGCAAAATTAAGGCAGTTATACAATTTTAAAAACATTACAAAACATTTCACAACAGATTTCACAACACATTAAGTGTGTGCCCTCAGGCCACTACTCTACTACCACATATCTACAACACAAAATTCATGTCTAGTGTATGTATAGTGCATATGTTATTGTGTGTGTGTGTACGCATGTGTCTGTGCCTGTGTGTTTGTCTCTTCACAATCCCCACTACTCCATAGGAGTTTTTTTTTTTTTTGTTTGTTTTCTTTTTTTTAATTTTTTTATCTGATTTTACTCCTTGCATGAGTTATTTGATGTGGAATAGTCATGGCTCTATGTAGTACTGTGCACCTCCTATAGTCTGTTCTGGACTTTCTAGACTGTGAAGAGACCTCTGGTGGAATGTCTTGTGGACTATGCATGGGTGTCCGAGTTGTGTGCTAGTAGTTTAAACAGACTGCTCAGTGCATTCAATATGTCAATACCTCTCACAAATACAAGTAGTGATAAAGTCAATCTCTCCTCTACTTTGAGCCAGGAGAGATTGACATGCATATTATTATTAATGTTAGTTCTCTGTGTACATTTAAGGACCATTGGCCTCGTGGTGAAATCCCTGAGCGGTTTCCTTCCTCTCCGGCAACTAAGTTAGGAAGGACGCCTGTATCTTTGTAGTGACTGGGTGTATTGAGACGCCATCCAAATTGTAATGAATAACTTCACCATGCTCAAAGGGATATTTAATGTCTGCTTTTTTTTTATGTCCCCATCTACCAGTAAGTGCCCTTCTTAATAATAATAATAATAATATACCATTTAGCAGACGCTTTTATCCAAAGCGACTTACAGTCATGCGTGCATACATTTTTTGTGTATGGGTGGTCCCGGGGATCGAACCCACTACCTTGGCGTTACATTGGCGAGGCATTGGCGTTACATTGGCGAGGCATTGGAAAACCTCCCTGGTCTTTGTAATTGAATCTGTGTTTGACTGAGGGACCTTACAGATAATTGTATGTGTGGGGTACAGAGATGAGGTAGTCATTCAAAAATCACGTTATACACTATTATTGCACACAGTGTGTGAAATTATTTAGGCATGCCATAACAAGACATTTCAGCTTTCCATTTTTATGAATTTGTAAACAATTCTAAAAACATAATTCCACTTATGGGGTATTGTGTGTAGGCAGGTAACACAATCTACATTTAATCTATTTTAAATTCAGGCTGTAACACAACAACATTTTGAAAAAGTCAAGGGGTGTGAATACTTTCTGAAGGCTCTGTATATGTGACGTGTCGAAGAGTGTTGCCACTCGACCAATATATGTGGCATATACACTGAGTACAAAACATATGGAACACCTGGTCTTTCCATGACATAGACTGACCAGGTGAATACAGATGAAAAATTCACTTTAGTCAGGGGGGAGACGGGTTAAAAAATTATTTTTAAGCCTTGAGACATGGATTGTGTATGTGTGCCATTCAGAGGCTGAATGGGCAAGACAAAATATTTAAGTGCCCTTGAACAGGGTATGGTAGTAGGTGCCAGGCGCACCGGTTTGAATGTGTTAAGAACTGCAACGCTGCTAGGTTTTTCATGCTCAACAGTTTCCCTTGTGTTTCAAGAATGGTCCACCACCCAAAGGACATCCGGCCAACTTGACACAACTATGGGAAGCATTGGATTCAACATGGGCCTTTTAGAGTTCATGCCCTGATGAATTGAGGCTGTTCTGAGGACAAAAAGGGGTGTTTTGTACAATCAGTGTATGTAAAAAATGACATGTCCTCTTCCTTGCAGACGTTCACGGCACCGTCCTTTGACGATAAGATCCTGGAGGTGGTGGCGGTGTTTGGCAGCATTCAAATGGCTGTGTCCAGAGTCATCAACCTGCAGCACCACCGTATCGCACAGGTAACACACACACACACACATTGCAGACTCTGTTAATGTACAGATGAATGTGTCTGCATTCCAAATGGGTCCTGGCACCCTATTCCTGTGACACAGGCTGTGTCTCAAATGGCACCCTATTCCTTTTTGGGACCAGGACCCAAAAGTAGTGCACTATATACGGCCATTTGGGACACAGGCTGTCACACAGGTTAACCTGCCGCACCATCCACAACATCGCTTAGGTGACGCATGCAGACAGAGTAGTCAGCTAGAGACATAAATGACCTTGAAACAGGGCAGCAGCATTGGCTCAATGGACAGAAGAGGCTGTCGTCTGTCCAACTTATCATGCGTCATAATACACTATGAAAGCTAAGACACCTTTGGAGACACTTGGCGAATGCTTATCTGACAAACAACCGTTAGTTGTGCTGCTATGCTTTGCTTGTCACCCGTGATGTTAGTTATTTTCAATCACTTTGGTGCAATTAAGGACAAAAATCTAATCAGACTAAGCACATTTTCAATTTACTGAGTACAACAAACAAATTCACAGTCACTTTTTCACTACATCAAATCACTTTCAATTTGGATACATATTCGATCTAAGGATCTGCTTTTCAAAATGCAATATTCACATTACTTTTGATATGATTTTCTTGTCATTTGTTAGTTTTTTAAATCATTTATTTGGTGCATCATTCAGTTGTAAGTGGTATATTTTCAAAACTCTTGAAGTACCAATATCTAAACTGATAACACTTGCTTCCTATCTTTATGGTCAAAACCTTTGATTGTGCATTCATTGGGGTTTCACACATCTTTCACCCTATGTTTTCCGTGAAATACCATGAGAACATTTTCATTTAGTCACCAATACATAAGTCATGTTAACTTCCATTTAATCCAATAGCAAAAAATACAAGATACACATTTCAAAACTGTTCTTTTTGAAGTGCTTAATATAAAGAATAGTAGATGGTAAATATAATTTTCGTACAGTTTATTTTATAATTTTTATCCAATGGCAGGTTTCATTATCTTTATACATTACATACGTAGGACAAATCATCAGGTATAACGGTATTGTAAAGCAGTTGCCGACTAAAAACGTAGCATGGTGTGGTATACCATTTTCTGATCACCTATGTGAATTGTCAACTGATACAGTATCGCCTGCTTGAAGACACATCCATATATGATTTGATTTCAAATTGATACATTTGAGGTAAAAATATTGAATTTCACAGTGTTAAGCAGTTATCAAACTACACTGAGTATACCAAACATTAGGAACACCTAATACTGAGTTGCACCCCCCTTTGCCATCAGAACAGCCTCAATTCGTCAGGGCATATGGACTCTATAAGGTGTCGAAAGCATTCCATAGGGATGCTGGCCCATATTAACTACGATGCTTCCCACAGTTGTTTCAAGTTAGCTGGATGTCCTTTGGGTGCTGGACCATTCTTGATACACACGGGAGACTGTTGAGCGTGAAAAACCCAGCAGCGTTGCAGTTCTTGACACAAACCGGTGCGCCTGGCACCTACTACCAATGTTCCCTCTAATTGTTTTAGTCACTGAGCAAATTTCAGGTCTGCTGAGCGCAAACTTGAACGTTGTGAAAATTCGGTGCAACTTCCAGAGCACGATTACTGTGAACACTCAGGCTGTACCCACTTTAAGTTACAGTTTTAACAGTGGCCAAGTAGGCTAAAAATGTTGTTGTGCTGTTTGATGCAAAAAATACACTTTACAAAATAAAATGCATTATTATTTCTATACCATTATTACAGAGAATCAGACAAATTATGCTACCCTCTGCCCATTGGCTACTTAGCTTATTCAAGCCTGTCTCAAAATAGAACACTGCCCCTTTAAGACAAAAAAAAGCTCTTTAACTGACTCTTTTCAAAGATGTCTAGAAATGTACATGTTTTGTGCTCTTGTAGGAAGCAATCACTCTGCTATTGCTGACTACAAATGATCTATATCTGGGCTAATAACTCACTAACTAGCAAAGGATATGAACAAAATGTGCACACGTGGCTACATGCATCTCAAAGCAAGCGCATCTACTCACGACCGCTCATTCTGTAAACACAGTCCAGTTCACCGGTCTGTGTAGAGTACGGGATGAGTCGTGCGTGTCAATGCACTCCAACTCTAATGCGTTGTGCCTAAAACAAAATAGTTTTGTTTCGGTATGTTGCATTGAAAGTCACTAATATTGCGTTGATTCGATCACAATTGCCACAGCAAAGGGAAACGTTGATAGTGTTAACAGGGAAAACTGATAGGGCCTGCATCTGATTGTCAGTGTCAGCGGAGGGAGAGCGCAGCAGACTGAGGGTTCCGCCTCTCAACATCCCTCCGCTCTCCCTTTCCTCCACAGACACTGACCAAAAAGGGACACCGTCTTCCAGCTAATGGCAAAACTCATGCACAAATTCATGTTGTTACTCCTATGAACAGAGAAAGTGAAATATTCCTCAATATTAAAAAAGCCCCAAGCCATTAATAATAACATCAACGCAAGCCTATAGAGACACTTTCCTACTCATTCAGTACTGCTGCAGTGCTTGTTGTAGCGCTGAGTGGAAATAGGAAGAACGCGCATTCTGTGGCTTATAAAAGTGTTGAATACAAAGTGTTGACAGTGCTGAGTAAGAAGTTCCTGCATGAATTAATGTATATTCAACATTTGGATAAATAGAAACCATGCCATGAATTAAGAGCAATATCTTATTTATTTTCACAATGCAATGCGGCACATTGACAACTCAAATCGCTTTGAAAGAGCCTTCTAATAACATAATATTATTTAGATAATAAAATAGTTGAATTGAAACTGTAAGCCTATATGGCCTGCGTATGGTCTATGAACGAAAGCCTGAATTAGCCAACAAATAAAGCTACTAAACAATAACTTCAAAACAGTCATTCATCACTTGAATTTCTTCAAATTGCTGTGCGGGAAAAGTATGTCATCCACCGTGCCTAGTCAGCTGGCTTCTTCTCTCTGACACCACAAATCCAGCTGTAGGTGACGCTTTATCCTTTGGAACCACACAATTACCAGGTGAAGACTAGGCTGTTTGCTTGTTTCTAAGGCGAGTTTGGCATCTGAAGCGATAGAGGAAATCAACAAGATCCCCAAGTATTCTTTCACAATAGTTTGCCTTATATTATCTGCAGTTTTGCGCAGGGAACTGTCCCACTGCCCCACACTGTGGTGGATAGCACCCTCTCCACACACACTAACTCTTTGTTTATGTAATGGGCTATAAGGCACAAGTATCCTATTTAATTTTTTTTATTGTCAGTCCACACCATTTGTATTTACCCAAGTTCTCTCTCAACTCCGGGACCACCTGATTTATTTTTGCCCGATGCAAGACTCTAGAACGAGAGGAGAGAGACTCTCGGACAGAAACGTTCACACCTCCATTAATTTACAAAAGTATAGTCTTATAGCTTGGTTAGGTGTGAAACATCCCCCAATTTGTGCCACAGTTTAGGCTACCGATAGGTGCTGCGGTCAGTCAACTGAGCGAGGGTAGGAGTGAGGTTTTACCCTTCTGAATGAATGGGTTTAACCTGCTGAATGAATGAATGAATGATTATATTGAAGAAAGAATGCGAAAAGAAAGCAAACAAATTATAATCAATCCCAGATAGTCTGTTCTAACGAAAAAAGTATTTAGTACAACAAAGATTGGGAGCTCAGGGCAGTACCATAAAGCTCATCTGAAGATGCACATGGATCAGATGAAAACTTTGAAAACGGAGATGGAGTCATTGAAAGCAGACCAGCAGAAAGATAAACATTCTCTGAGGGCAGAGATACGGGCAACGGCTGATGCATTGGTCCAGAGCCAGGCGGCATTGACAGAGTGCCAGGCCACATTGGCGAGGCGGAGAATGATGCGTTGAAGAGGGCGAGGGACGATATTTTGGAGTCACAATCCATGCCAGCAAACCTGTGATCTCTGGAACTCCACCTCTGACAGGCAGAAGCAACAACTGTGGCAGATTCATCAGGTCATCGGTTCACCCTGACATTTCCATTCCACGTCTGACACCAGAACTTGACGAACTGCTCACCAAGCACAGCGTAGGCTGTCTGGACCGTTCTGCTGTTCTGCTATTCCAAGAATGCATAACCGAAGAGAGATACCATGAGTGGGCACAGAATACCAAATGGGATGGATCCCAAGGCAAATTTGGCTTACAAGTGAACCATCATGAATACTGTGTCTCCAGAAGTTTCTATCCATGAGTGATGAAACAAAACATAAAAGTCAGAGTAAATGAGTACTTGAGGTCGCCGAGAAAGTCTGGACATGGCTTCTCTCCCTTATCTAAGGAATTAGGTATACAGTATGGCTACAGTAAAAATGTAATTGTCCTGTTGTTTTTTGTCACACTGTACAGTAGCCTAATAAACATCAGCATTTTTTAAAATCTAATTCAAATATATATTTCTACTACTGTACTGGGCTTACAGCAGTGATGGACATTGGTCACAGTTCACGCCTTGATGATTAAATTGGACAATAGCCAGCCGAAACTCTCATAATAGCTAATTGGTGACCTAAACTAATTTGAATGAGATGTTCAAATCAAATCAAATTTTATTGGCCACATGAGCCGAATACAACAGGTGTAGACATTACAGTGAAATGCTTACTTACAGCCCTTAACCAACAATGCATTAATTTTTTTATAAAAAAAGGAAAATAAAACAACAACAAAAAAGTGTTGAGAAAAAAAGAGCAGACGTAAAAAATAAAATAACAGTAGGGAGGCTATATATACAGGGGGTACCGGTGCAGAGTCAATGTGCGGGGGCACCGGCTAGTTGAGGTAGTTGAGGTAATATGTACATGTGGGTAGAGTTAAAGTGACTATGCATAAATAATTAACAGAGTAGCAGCAGCGTAAAAAGATGGGGTGGGGGTGGGGGGGCAGTGCAAATAGTTTGGGTAGCCATGATTAGCTGTTCAGGAGTC